ATGCTAATCCTCCTCTTTTTGCTGAGGAAGACTGGCTCTGAGCTAACATCTATTGCCAATCTCCCTCCTTTTTTCCCCCAAAGCCCCAGTAGATAGTTGTATGTCATAGTTGTACATCCTTCTAGTTGCTGTACGTGGGACGCGGCCTCAGCATGGCAGGAGAAGCAGTGCGTCGGTGCGCGCCTGGGATCCAAACCCAGGCTGCCAGTAATGGAGCGCGCGCAATTAACTGCTAAGCCACGGGGCTGGCCCAAATCCTTGCTTTCTGATAGAACAAGCTTTTCCAAGCTCCTTTTGTCCTTACCCTGCCTTGGCCCTGGAATCACCCCTCCTGGTATTTAAAAACCAGCACGTGGGCACTGGGAGTGCTCACTGCTACTGGGGGGGTCACTGCTCCAGGGCCCTCTCAGTGGCCAGAGTTAGAGAATGTGTATACATATAGACACAACATTCATATATTTATTATTTCTATATCTATCTATGTGGAAAGCCATGAATTCACAATGATATCTCCAATTCCACCCAATTTGTTCTAATATTCTCCCATTTCATATTTATAATTCCTTTCTCCAACAGTGAGAAATCTGTCTCCCCTTGTCCCTAATATTTATACTTACTTGGTCAGTCCCCCTATATGTGACCAGTCTCCCATTTCTGCCACCACCCTCTCTCCCTTGCACCGATGCCCTCTTCACCCACTCAAGTGTCATTGCCTCCCACATGGATGCCCTGGATTTCCCTGTTGGGCCATTTCTCCTTAGAATTTCCTCCTCACCCAGCTTGGTTGGGTACCAGCTCCCACACCAGCCATGTCTCTACGTGAACACCCTCCTCCCTTACCCTCCCTGGGCTCTAACCATCTGCTCTGAGCCACCGTGACTCACTGGCACTAGATGCCTACCTTGTTTTGCCATACCTCATGCCTTTGGGACTGCATTGTTCAAGAGGGGCAGAGCTGGGGATGGGAGAGGCATTAATTTAAATACACCTGGCAAAGCTTGCCATTTTCAACACACTTTCCTATTCAAAGGACTCCTCTTCCATGTCTTATAAATTAAAAATACCCTTGTCTTCAGTCTTTAATTTATTAAGTGCATATTATGTGCCAAGTGCTGTGCTAGGTACAGGGGACACAAAAGTGAAGCAGAATAGACACAGTGCTCCTCTTGGAAGTTACCCTGCAATTAGTCCGAATTTCATTCATTTATTGGGGTTGCTCAGTATTCAGTAGAAGGTTTCACTTTGATCTGCTCATAACAACACTGTGGATTAACTGAATAGAATCAAAAAAGATAAAATCTGTATAATTTTATGCATCCAAATTTCTCAAAAGATTGTCGCAGTTCAAATATTTTGCAGAATATTTAGTCTATAAAATGATAGCTAATCTTAGGGAAGTTTAGAAAGGCACATTGAAAGGCTTGGCAGTGTACACATACCTTTTGATTCTGCTATATCGTTTCTGGGAAATTCTGAAGGAAATAATCAGGGCTATGCATTAAGGATTATCTGCAAGGGTGTATTGAACACCAGGGGATAAGGTACATATGGTATAGGCTGTGTGCTGAGACAATGCACAGCTATTACAGAACATGGACAGAAGGTAATATTTAAGGGCAAAGTGAAAGAAAAGTACACACTTTGGTCCCAGTTATATTATGTAAAAAGTACCTTCATGCTTCTAGATTAGAAGTTTATGTTCTTTTATGATTGTAGTAATTGTCTCTGGATTATGAGAAGTTAATTTTTAGGAGAAAATTCTTTGTTTACAGTAAATGTGTTGCATATTGCTTTTGTGGACGTATAATTAACACACAAGTAAAGGTATAATAACGAAGATCTTGGTTGTTTATGTTTGATGACTTTTGACAACTATATACATCTGTGTAACTACCACTCAAAACAGGAAGTTGTATATTTTTTTTGATAGTCTTATCTCATTGGAATTTCAATGGCTGAGGTTCAGTTAAACTTGCCCATCCTTTGTGCTCTTGTATATTCTGCGTGCAGCTTCACTTCTTGCAGATCAGTGAGAAATCCTCCCAGTGTTGAGTGTTTTTCACACCGCATATTTGGCACCTGGTTGTTGTCCAGTAACTGGCAGCCAGTGAGAAACTCAGAAGTGGATGAAATATCCAAAAGAGATGTTTTTAGAGATGCTTTTTTGTTTTTATATAAAGAATCACTTTGAAAAACCATATGTCCGACTGTGAATTTCAGTTTCTCATGGCTCTTTATACCTAGAGGTTTATATATTTTCATGGGAGGAGGAGTGGAGCAGAAATAAGGAGTGTGTGGTTTCCTGCTTCTGTTCATTAGCTCTGGAGGCCCTAGCCTTGTGTGCCCGTGAGTAGTGGTGAGAGTGCCCATTTACTGTGTTCTGTCTGTCAGTCACAGCGTTGAGTGCTTTGCAAACATTTCATTGCAACTTCACAATCCCAAGGGCTTCCTTTATCATCCCCAGTTTACAAATGAGGAACTGAGGTGTAGAACCTTGGCACATGCCCAAATCTCATTCCAAATGTAATAAAGGGCAGAGCAGGATTAAAACCCAGGTCCGCCTATTGCGTGACTATGCTGCCTCTCGGGTGCTCATGGATCTTGGGAGGGAGAACTGATCCCATAATGGGAGTGGGCCTGTCTCCTGGGTTTGTGACCTCCCGTTTCATCAGAGACTTTCTTCTCTTGGCAGAAGTCCTCAATGGGCAGCATGTTCCGGCAACAGTCTGTCGAGGACAAAGAGGATAAGCCACCCGCACGGCAGAAGTTCATCCAGTCAGAGATGTCCGAGGCCGTGGAACGAGCCCGGAAGCGCCGGGAAGAGGAGGAGCGCCGAGCCCGGGAAGAGAGGTTGGCTGCCTGTGCCGCCAAGCTCAAACAGCTGGACCAAAAATGTAAGCAGGCTCAGAAGGCGAGCGAGGCCCAGAAACAGGTGGAGAAGGAAGTCCCCCGATCGCCAGGCACTGAGAAGGTGCCCGCACAGGAGAACGGCCCTGCTGTCCGCAAAGGTGAGTGGTGGGCCCCTCTCCCATGAACTGGAAACCGTGGGCTATTTTCACTGGTTTGTTGTTTGCATCTCCCTGGCTTCTTAGCACAAACTGTGGCTGACAAGTAGATGATAGTGGGAAGTGTCAGTCACTGAGAGTTTGGGCCTGAGTCACACGCCTGGGTTCACATCCTATTTCAGCTACTTCAACTAGCTGGCTACACACCTTACCTATCTGGAGCCTCTGTCTGCATCTGTAAAATGGGGTGATGATAGTATGTACCTCCCCACACGCTGAGGGGCTGCATGAGGTAATGTACATAAAGCACTGTGCTCGGTTTCTAGATGCAGAAAGCATATACCTACTGTAATGTTGCCAATTTTGTTGTCACTGTTGTTATCACTGTTGCTACTACCAGCAGTGCTCAACCAAAGATGCAGGTGCTAGAGGACTTGAGTACAAGCACAGGATCCTTTCACGTGACGTTGAAAGAAGCACGCCTGCTTGTTAGAATACATTGTTCCTGGCATCAATTCTAAAAGGAGTGGATCACATGGCTACGTAAGAGACATTGAACAGTGCTATGCGGTGGAGAGTCTCTTGTAGCAGTTTTAAAGAGTGTGATCAGCTATGTTCTTTGTGATTTTCTTAAATCAACTAAAACCAACTCTCTTTAGGAGAGGAGGGCCTGATGTTAGCTTCAGTCCCTGAAAGCTTCTCAGCTGGGGGTCTTATTGGTGATCTGTTATCAGCGCCCTTCTGGCCAGGGAACTCGGAGAACTCGACGACTATCGTCTGTAAATTCCCTTTCACGGAAGTCTGCCTGTGCCCAGTCTCACAGTACTCACTGAGAGAGGCCAGTGCCGAGTCCAGGAATTGGGTTGCTTTGGGGTTAGTGTGGTCAGTTGATGCTGGTCCTCCGGTGGGCCTCAGGGTCTTGTGATTCAGGATGGGCCTGGGTGTTGCGTGTGCCCTGGAGCTTCCCTGCACCCACTCTGCCCTTCTGCAGTGTTCCTCTGTCATGCACCACAGAGTCCCTGAGGCTTTGCATTGGGGTTTGTTTGCTGTCTGCAGTAGAGTTAAGAATGCAAATGTCAATTATACCTCAATAAAGCCAGGGTTAAAAAATGCAAAGCTGGGATGGAGGGAAGAAAGAAGGGAATTTCAGAGAGAATAATGATGGGAAATTGTGTTGAGTATTTACTACTTGTCAGGCGCTGTTGTAAGTGCATTTTGTGGATTATCTCATTTAATTCTCACGGAAGCCTTCTGGGGCAGGCACAGTCGTTGTCCTCATTGTACCCGTGAAGAAGTGGGCAAGGAAGTGGGCAAGGAGAGGCTCGGTGACGTGCCAGGTCACACACCTGTGGATCTGTTGACTCATGCTGTTTGGATGGTGGCTGTGTGGGCTGTCCTCGAGCTCCTGGCTGCTCTGATTTACCGGGATCCTTTCTAATAAAACTTCTCCCACCTGGAACCAGATCCCAGCTGCACTGGTGATTGTGTGACCTCGGGCAATTCACCTACCCTCCCGAGCCTTAGTTGTCTCATCTCTAAAGTGATGATGGGTGATGTGGGGAATCCATGAGCTTGTGCGTGTGAAGCATTTCCCACAATGCCAGGGTTTGGGGGTGTGAATAGTCTAGCAGTGGAACAAAAGTACCTACAAGAAAAAGCATTTGTTGTTAAACATCTGGTGGGCCAAGCTTTTGTGAGCTCACCTCAGCCGTTTCTCGGGTTATTTGTTCTCTAGGCTCCCCTGAGTTCCCTGCCCAGGAAGCCCCCAACACATTTTCAGAAGAAGCCCCCACAGCTCCTCCCGCTGTGGCTCAGACCGGCAGCAGTGAGGAGGGGGCCAGGGAGGCTGGGTCCCCCGCACAGGAGTTCAGCAAGTACCAGAAGTCGCTTCCTCCCAGATTCCAGCGCCAACAGCAGCAGCAGCAGCAACAGGTAAATAAAGAAGACACTTAGAAGGTTGCTGTAAACAGACCTGACTAAGGAGCGGATGTCCCCTCTCCCCTGCCCCATGCCCCCTTCAATCACAACAGGCAAAGAAAATCTGCCCTCATATATCACAGTCACCAGCAGGGATGTCAGGAGTTGCACCTCAAAACTTACGGCCTTGGTAGATCAGCCTTGGCCGTTATTTATTTCTCCCAAGTGATTTGTCCTGTGAATGAATCAACCGTTGTTGGTAGTTTATTGAGCTTGCTGTCAAATATTGGTAAGGAAGAGTTAGTGGTGTATGCACTGGACTCCGTGTACTTGAGCTGGAAGAAGGGTTTTTCATTGAGAGCACAGCATGGCCACTCCTTAGACTGACAGTGGCCCCACCCTGGGACCCTCCAAGGAGTCCGAAGGCCTGGGAGCTGCTTGGAGAGCTGTCGGAGAGAGGCGTGTTAGCTTTGGGTTAAGGACATAGGTTTGTAGGTTTGAGTCAGTTGTGGGTTCTGATCCTAATGATGCAGCTTGTCTAGTCGTGTATGGCCTTGGACAGGTCAGTGTAAACCAGGAAGAATGAACACCTGCCTCTCAGCAGTGAGAGATTTATGGTGCTCTATAAACTGGTTTATCTGTATTATCAGTGTCAACTTTACTGGTCTTTCATAAACCTTAAAAGGGACCTACTCTTTGCCCTGAAGAAGATTCATGTGGGTAATGGTAGTAATCAAGCTGATTTCTTGTAGTCCTGGTCATCTTTCCCAGCTGGAACCACTCATTGGTGATTATGCATCTTATAGGAGTAATAAATGAAGGAACAAATGATGACTGATGAGCAGTGCATTTTGGTGGGAAACTGAGATGATACATGGACATAGCCCACAGCTAGGTGTGTGGTAGATTATTAATAATAACCAAAAATGTTTCAAAATGTGTGTGCCCTGGGGAAACAAATCAAGGTCTTGAGCCTTTTCCCAGCATCTCTTTTAGTTTCCTTTAAAACCTACACCCCAGATGCTCCTTTCCTTGGGCTCCTAGGAAGCATCCCAGGAGCTCACCAGGTCCTGTGCTATAAGCAGGAGGTGATGTTCTTTGGGCTTTTATAGCGTTGTAGTGTGAGCGAGCACCGTGCACGTACTCAGGGGCTTGGTGGAGAATTACTAACTGGGGAGGTCTCTGGAGTTACTGGAGCCAGACACAGCAGTAACGACTGCTCTAGGTTACTCTTCTGGGGGATAGTGATGGGTAAATCCTTCCTTTAGAATAGAAAGAAGTCTGAAAGCGCCAGGGCAGCCTGGAGGAGTCTGGCAAACAGACTGTCTGGTCAGGTTCCCTGGGGACCCGGAGTCTAGACGGGAGGAGGAGCTGTGGGTAGAGGCCCGCGTTCTCCTGTGTGGGCTGGGAGAGCTCTGTTTATTGAGTTCTGAGTGCTCTTAGAAGATACCCGGAGTGCTGACGGAGCCATCCAGGGAATCCAGCCCAGGCGGGCTGGTGGAGTGGCCTCTTGTTTGCAGATTGGAAGGTTGTAGCCGAGTCGGCTGTCCTCCTGGTCTCACTCTGCACCTGAGTCCTGCTGGAATGCTGGTTTGTGCACTTGTGCGGGCAGCCCCGAGGTCACTGATGCTTTGGAGCATGGGCTGAGATGAACCCTCACTGGGTCCAGATCTTTGGTTTTGAACATGCTGTTGATGCTTTATGTTCATCCTTTTGTGCAACAGATTTTCTACATACCAAGTCTGGTGGTAGGAGGCAAGGATACCACAGTGAACTCAGCACGCAGTCTCTTATGATTTAGTGAGGGAAACCAGCAGCAGAAAATAATAGCATATTGTTGGTGCTGCAAAGGAAACTTAATACCAGTGCTGTGAGAGCAGAGGACAAGGGGACCTGATCTCGCCTGGGGAGTTGTGACAGGCTTCCCAGGGGAAGTGCTTTTTAAGCTGAAACGTAAAGACTGAGTAGGGGTGAGCCACGTTTGGGGGTGGAGGGAACAGGAGCTTCCCAGACAGAGAGCCCAGTATGCTACCAAGGCCTGAAGTGGGCAGCAGGCATATGGAGCAGAGAGCGAGGGCCATCGTGTGAGATGAAGCTAGAGAGGCAGATGGATCCTGCAGGGCCCTGCAGGTCTCTTGTAACCTTGTGGGATTCGGGCTGTGGAGAACCATCAAAGGCTCTTTTGAAGCAGGGTGTGGACATGATCAGGTGAGTGTGTGTTAAAAGATCAGTCTCATCAATCAGTCTAGTTGTGGGGCTGGCCCCGTGGCTTAGCGGTTAAGTGCGTGTGCTCCGCTGCTGGCGGCCCGGGTTCGGATCCTGGGCGTGCACCGATGCACCGCCTCTCCGGCCATGCTGGGGCTGCGTCCCACATACAGCGGCTGGAAGGATGTGCAACTATGAGATACAACTATCTACTGGGGCTTTGGGGGAAAAATAAATAAACAAAATTATAAAAAAAAAAAAATCAGTCTAGTTGTAGAGAATGATTGAAGCAGGCAGTAGTGAGGAGGAAGTGATGACAGCTGTTCTCCGTGGTGGTTGTAGACATGGAGAGAGGTGGCCAGCATCCAGAGATTCCCTGGGAGGTGTGCTGGTCAGCTGTCTGTTCCAGAGAGTGTTTGATCTAAATGCAAACCCAGTCTGCCTTGGGTAGCAGAGGAGCGCACGGGCCCCAGTTGTGATAATGGCATGACTGTCCATCCACTCTTGGGAGAGGGTCCACAGCCTGAAAGCTGTAATACACTGGGGTCTTTTGAGCAGCTGCACATCCTTCCCTCTTTGGTCTTCTGTTCTGGGTGGGCTTTCTGTGCCTCCTGCTGAAAAGCTGGAAGAATGAGTGTACGCGCACACGTGCTTGCAATGCCTCTGCCCTGCAACACCTGTCTAACCAGGTCTCTCTCCCGCGGGACAGGAGCAGCTGTATAAGATGCAGCATTGGCAGCCGGTGTACCCTCCGCCTTCGCACCCACAACGCACCTTCTACCCTCACCACCCCCAGATGCTGGGCTTCGATCCCAGGTGGATGATGATGCCTTCCTACATGGACCCACGCATCACGCCCACTCGGACCCCAGTGGATTTCTACCCCTCAGCCCTGCATCCCTCGGGTAAGCACGAGGTCTAGTGGGCCATACCTGCAGAGCCCAGGATGGTGTGGCGGTAAGGGTGTTGCCTCAAAAGGTAGACAGGCCCACCTGGAGTCCAGCTTGGCCTCTTCCTCAAGTCACATGACCAGTCTGTTTGTAAACTTCCTTATTAGCAAAATGAGGGTCTGATAATAGCAGCTGTCACAAAGAATTGTTGGGAAGAGTCCTTACGATCATGCATTATAAATTGCTTTAATTAAAGTTGATATCTCTGCTATGTTGTTTTGCCTCGTTCCATTCTTGATGTTCTTTGTGCCTTCTCTCTCTCTTTTTCTCCCTTGGTTAATCTTTCTCATGGTTTGTCTCACTCAAGGGCCGTGCCGTGCCAGCCAACCCTGATCTGGATTGCTTGACATTGTCGAGATTTTTTTTTATGGGCTATTACATGGTCTTTTTTATTTTTTTTTTAAACATTCTGTGTTTGCTTGAAAAGAATATATAGTCTCCAATTTGATGTGGTTCATTAAATTGAGCTAGCTAATTATGCTATGTGAATATCTATATCATCACAATTTTTTGTCTCTTTGATCAATTACTAAGAGATGTGTTAAAATCTCCCACGATGGGGCCGGCCTGGTGGCCTAGTGATTAAATTTGTGTGCTCCACTTCGGTGGCCCAGGTTCACAGGTTCGGATCTTGGGCATGGACCTACACCTCTCATCAAGCTGTGCTGTGGCAGCGACCCACATACAAAATAGAGGAAGAGTGGCACAGATGTTAGCCCAGGGATAATCTTCCTCAAGCAAAAAAGAGAGGAAGATTGGCAGCAGATGTTGGCTCAGAGCGAATCTTCCTCACCAAAAAAAAAAGAGAGAGAAAAAAAATCTCCCACGATGATTGTAGATTTGTCAGGTCTTCTAGGCCTGTCAGCTTTGCTTTCTCTCTCTGGAAGCTTACCGGTTTGGACTTAACTACATCTGGTTTTTTAATCTGCATGAAGCACCCTTGTTATCATTAATCGTGTTTCCACCTGTACTGTCTACTTTGTTTGATATTGGTATCATCATGCCAGTTTTTCTTTTTATTAGTATTGATTTGGGATCTGTTTTTCTAACTTTTTACTGTCAGCTTCTCTGAGCCCTTTTCTGGGGAGTGTGTCTTTGATGTGCAAGATGATGTGTATGGTTTTACTCACTGTGAAATCTCTGACTTGTATTACCCAAGCTGAATCGCACCCACAACGCACCCACAACCAACTAAAGCTGGTCCCTTTAGATTTGTTGGGATTATTATGTTCGGGTTTCCCACTCTCCAGTTTTAGGCTTTCTGTTTATCCCTCTTTTTCTGTGCTTTTCTTGTTCTTCCTTTTTTTGGATCAAAAAAAAAGTTTTGCTCTTCTTTTCCTTGGTGTGTTTTTCTTCTACATTCTGTTTCCTCTCTCTTACAGTTACATTAAATTCTAACATGCACCCTTGACTCAGAAATGCTAATCTCTATATTTACCCTTAACCTGAGCTCTGGTCACCTCCTTATCAGTCTTGTTTTTGCTTAGAATTTTAGTTCTGCCTTGTTTTTATGCCCACAAACTAGTCATTATCATTTTGATGTTTTATCCAATCTGCTTGTTCAGGTTTGCCTGTGTGGTCACTAGTTTCTTTGCTGCTTTTTCCTTCTTGCATCTTCCATCTGGGTTCAGTTTCCTTCTTCATGAAATACATTTTGTCGAGTTCTTCAGGAGAGTTTTTGGCAGATTTTCGTTGCCTGAAGAAGTCTTTATGTCACCGTTCTCTTGAACAATAGCATAGCTGGGTGTGGAATTCTAGGTGGACAGTTACTTTCAGAACTGTGATAATAGTATTCCATTTTCTTGGTTCCTGTTGCTGCTCAAAGTGGGATTCATTTGTGGGTAATCTACGATGTTCCCTCTTTGGCTGCTTTTAAGATCTCCTCTTTGTCTTGGTCTCCTGCAGTTCTCTCTCGATGTGCTGTGTCTAGGTTTATACTTACTTTATTCTGCGTAGAACTCATCTTGCTCAAATCTAAGGATGTAAGTCTTTAGTCACTTTTGGAAAATTCTCTTCTAATTATTACTTCAAATATTGCCTTTTCCTCATTCTTTGTATCCTTTTTTCCTAGAACTCCCACTTAAATTATGTTGTATCTTCTTCTGTCTTCCATATCATAGGAGAGGTGTTCTCTCTGTGGTGCCTTCTGGAGAAATGCCTCAGAACTATTTTCCAGTTCAGTTTCTTCTCCAGTTGTGTCTCATCTGCTTTTTTTATTTTATTCTCCAGTGAGTTTTTAATTTCAGTGACTACTTTTATCATTAGGATTTGTTTCTCAAATTTTATTTATCTTGTCTTATATTTTTCTTAAGTTTTTAATTCCTCCTTTTATGCTTTTAATCATTAAAAACATAATTTTCTAGTGTTTAACAGATTATTCTGTTATCTGAAGTTCTTGGGGAGGTATATAATCCTGGGGACTTGCCGTGGACTCATGGTGGATTGCTTTCCACGTGTGTTCTGGTAATTTCAGATTGCGAATTTATTTTCAACAGCACTTTATTTATTGTGGGGATCCAGTATGGCTTGCGTTGTGAGTATGTCCCTCCAGAGTAGTTTTATGTTTTCTTCTGCCAGCCTAGAACCACCTTTTATTTTAACTTGGGAAGTTTCTGGACCATTCTAGGGTATGAATCTGTACTCCCCCCTCCCCCAGACCTGCATGAAAGCCAGCATGTAGCTATGGATTCCTGGCAGAGGACTGTTTTTTCCCTACCCTGGCCTAGCCCGAGACACCAACTTAGTCATTTTCCTGTAGTAAAGAGCATGCATTCTTCTAATCCACCTTTTAATTAAGGGCGTAGCCCTTTGAGAGTCTTTGCTTTAAACAGCATCTCAGTTGCAACTCTCTGCCTTGTGCAGAAAAGCCCACTCCCCATCCCTGAGAGTGTTGAAGACCAAGCCCTTGGGTTACTAAGACTGTGTCCCCTGCTTCCCTCCAGGAAGCACCAGCTCGTGGCTCTGGCCTGTGGTTTCAGCTCCCTGGGGATTTCCCATTTTCTTGGGACTACAGCTCTGCAAGTGAAATGTTTGCTATATTCTGTCCAGCATTTTTGTGGCAGAAAGTGTTTGTGGCAGGACGGCTTTTCAGGAAATAAGGGCTGCCGTATTGCCAAAAGTAGATCAATATATAGTGTTGAGCAGTTTAGCATGCCTTATAATCAATACTTAATAAATGGTATGTAATTTTAGGGTTCCAGAGAGGGCCCCCACCACTGCTAGACTCAGACTCTCTTTGTATTGGAGTCGTGTATCAATAGCATTTGAACAGAGCACTCCACAGCTGAAAGAAAGCTTAAAACTGCAGGCCTCATGCAGAACCATTTTCCTGGCCAGATTATCTCAGTTTAAAAGATGGGCACAACAAAATTTTTGGCTACTAAGAAGCTTTGTGAAGAAAGTATTTAAAGAATCAGATCTTTTTTCTCCACAGACTTAGGCCCAGCAAGACCTTTAACATTATCTGCGCCAGCCGAGCCCCCTCATTTGATAGACACGGACAGAGAGGCCCCGGCGGGGGCGCAGGTTCTCCGGCTAGTTTATATCTAGCAGGACTAATATGTCATCTTTATCATAAGCTCCTTGGTCCACTTAACAGTTATTGTCATTTGTGCGTTCCCACACCTGCATTTCCTGTGTAAAAATGAGGAGTGTTGCTCTCGCTGCTAGGGTTAGAAACAAAAGGAACTAAAACCAAAATCCCTTTCTAGAGCTTCTTGCAGGGGTTTTGAAGCAGGTGGATACAAGTGCATGGTTCCGTGTAGGCGCTCTGGTGTGTAGCTAATCTTCCTTGTGTCTGTGCAGAAAACCTTCGGCACCTCAGCTTACGCAGAGGTTCTCATTGCTGATCGACTGGCCCCTCTAGCCTTCTGCTCACAATGATGAACTCTCCAGTTGGATGTTTCCAGTTTCTGTTTGCCAGTTATATACCTTTGAACATGGGGGTTCTTAATCTGGGAACTAAGATTGGCATTCACAGGTCTTTCTGAAGGTCTTTCACAACTCAGATTGCATGTGTGTGTGCCTTCAAAGGTTCTGTGGTCAGGAAAGATTAAGAACCCAGGGGACGTTAAGCAGGTGGGGTGCTGTGTCCATGTGGAGTGAGGGGTAACCATTGTCTCCTTTGAGCCTTTGGTTGGCCCTGAGATTGGAGCGTGGCTTTCTAAACGAGATGACAGAGATGAGTTCTTTGCCTTCTTCAGGACTGATGAAACCCATGATGCCCCAAGATTCCCTCAGTGGGACTGGCTGTCGCTCTGAGGATCAGAACTGTGTGCCCCCACTGCAAGAAAGAAAAGTGACTACCATCGATCCAGCCCCCATGTGGAGCCCAGAGGGCTACATGGCATTGCAGAGCAAGGGCTACTCGCTCCCCCACCCGAAGTCGAATGACACTTTGGCCATGGACCTGCATGTCAGGTGAGATGAAACTTAATCTACTGACCTGCAGCTGAAGGAAGACTCTCCAGGTCCTAACTGAGAGGGGGATTCTGGGAAGAGGCACTGTCCCAGGAGACACTGCCTGAGGGAAAGGGGTGCCTCGTAGGGACTGCCAGTGCCCTTTGGGGAAAGAGAGAGTGATAAGGATTGCGTGAATGCTTTTGTGTGAGAGGCACTTGTCTGATGGCAGGACTGAAGGCCGAGGAGAAATCTTAGGGTCAGAGGCAAATCTGGCTGAACTTTGGGCAGGGGATCGAGGGGTGGGGGCCTTGCGGGGCAGGTGGGGTCCAGCGTGTGGGTCATGGCTCCTTCCTGTGAAAGTAAAGCAAGCTGGCCGTGCCGGCCCAGTGCCCCAGACTCTTCCCGGACTCCCAGGCTCCAGCTTGTTGTTTGAAGCAGAGGATCCCCGGCTGCTCTCTGTCTACAGAGTGGCGCACTGAGTCCACCAGCAGCCACTGCCTTCTTCACTCTCTGGACTCCCGGGCCACCGGCCAATCCATGGCCCAGCAGCTCTGAGACCTGTTTAAAGAGAGAGCAAGTGTTGGTGCTTATGTTTTTTTCTTTTTTTTTTATAATTTTTTTCTTTTTAAAACTAAGCTCTGTATTCAGCATGGAAACCAGGAACCAGGCTCCAATCACATTGACTGATTTTTCTGGTTCCTTTTCAGGAGTGAAAGCTCTTACTCTGCCTCACCCGGAAGGTCAGGGGGCGTAAGTGCCCAGCGCGATCTCCTTGAGGAGAGAGGGGAGGAGTACTTGAGTGCTTTTGACAAGAAGGCCCAAGCAGACTTTGACAACTGTGTCTCTTCTCAAAGAATAGGCCAGGAGCTTTTGTTTCCACCCCAAGAAAACGTTCAGGAAGCAGGTGCTCCTGGGGGTCACACCCCAGGCCTCAGGTGTTCCCCACTGGATCCTGACTTTGCACCAGCAGAGAAAAAGCCAGAGTATAGCAGTTGGGACATTAGCCACCAGCCTAAGACCACTGACACAGCCAACGGTGTCGAGAAGGAGGCGCCCCCAGAGGAGCCATCCTTTAACGTCTCCTCCTGGGAGAAGGAAGGGAGCCCCAACAAACAGCCGTCCCTGGAGCCGGAGTGGACTCCCGAACCCCGGGGCTCCGGCAGCCAGCACCAGGAGCAGGCCAGCAGGACCCGGAGGTCAGGACCCATCAAGAAACCTGTCCTAAAAGCCCTCAAGGTAGAAGACAAGGAGAAGGAACTAGAGAAGATTAAGCAGGACCTGGGGGAGGAGAGTGCCCGCCTGGCCAAGGAGAAGGGGCCGATTCACAAGGCAGAAAAGGACGAGGACGAAGAGAACGACGCCACGCTGGCCAACTCCTCCCCCTCTGCCTTGGAGGACCAGGGCTCTACCAGTGCTAGTTTGGGCCATGAGGCCAGCAAGTCTGAGGAGGACGAGAAAACTGACAGGGCCTGGGAGACCAGAGCCTCCCGGGAGTCCAGCGATACCCCCCCCACGAAGAGGAATAACTGGATCTTTATTGACGAGGAACAAGCGTTTGGGGGCAGAGGGCAGGCCCGCAGCCGCGGCCGTGGCTTCAGAGAATTCACTTTCCGCGGTAGGCCTGCAGGCAGCAACGGCATCTGTGGAGGGGGGATCCTTGGGGCGCGGGGCATCTACAACAACAGCCAGAGAAGCGGCCGAGGCCGGGGCCTGCGAGAGTTCAGTCAGCCCGAAGACTTCCCCAGAGCCAAGCCCCGGCGAAGAATTGCCAGTGAGACCCACAGTGAGGGCTCCGAGTATGAAGAGCTTCCCAAGCGGCGTCGGCAGAGAGGCTTGGAGAACGGGAACGAAGGCTCGCTCCTCGAGAGGGAGGAGAGCACCTTGAAGAAAGGTGACTTCAAAGATTCCTGGCGGTCCAACAAGATGTACTCGGAGGACCACGGTGGTCTGGATGCTAAGAACCGAGGCCCTCGGGCCTTCGGGCGAGCCCTCCCTCCCCGGCTGAGCAACTGTGGGTACGGGCGGAGAACCTTCGTGTCCAAAGAGTCAGCCCACTGGCAGAACAAGAGTCCAGGCACCTCCTGGCAGGAGTACAGCTCTCCCGATGCGTGCGGGCCCCGGCGACCCACAGACAGAGACTATATCGCAGATGCTTACAGACATTCTGACTCATTTGGCCCCAGGGGCTTCGAGGACAGCCGCTTGGAGGACAAGAGGTCATTCTTCCAAGACGACCATGTGGCAGATTCTGAAAATGCAGAGAACCGGCCCTTCAGGAGAAGGCGCCCCCCTCGCCAGGACAAACCCCCTCGCTTCAGGCGCCTCAGGCAGGAGCGTGAATCCTTGGGTCTCTGGGGACCTGAGGAGGAGCCCCACCTGCTGGCAGGTCAGTGGCTGGGCAGGTCCAAACTCTGTCCTGGGGACAAGAGTGGCGCTGTGGGCCGCAGGTCCCCCGAGCTCTCGTACCAGAACTCCTCCGATCACGCGAACGAAGAGTGGGAGACAGCCTCCGAGAGCAGCGACTTCAGTGAGAGACGGGAGCGGCGAGAAGGCCACGGGGCTGAGCCCGACTCCCAGGTGGACGGCAGCCTGCCTGGGGCCGGTTTGGGTGAGAAGAAGGAGTTGGCCAAGAGGAGCTTCTCCAGTCAGAGACCCCTGGTTGACAGACAGAGCCGAAAGCTGGAGCCGGGGGGGTTTGGGGAGAAGTCTGTTAGGCCCGGTGGTGGTGAAACTTCTCCCCGTTATGAAAGCCAACAGAATGGGACGCCTTTGAAAGCCAAAAGGTAAAACAAAAACAAAGCCCAGGTTCTTGTTTGTTGCTGTTGTTCTGTTACGAAGCCGGTTTTTGAAGCAGCACTTCATGCATGCATGTCCTGCCATATGTGAGGTGCCCCTGAATCTCCCTCTTGTGCTCCAGACGGGTGACTGCCCACCAAGGCCATTCGTTTGAGCGTCTGCATCACTTGCTCTTACACCGCTTGTCTTCTTCTCTTGTGGCGTGTTATTGTTGTTTTTGTTGTTGTGTGTCTTGAAAACCAAAATTAGAGTCCCCACTCCCGTGGTCCTCTTTCAGCAGCTGTCCTAGCGCCCGTCACAAGAGTTCAGTTTCCATGTGTGTCCTTGGAGGCCCGCCGCAGTGAAGGGGCGTTAGCCGTGTGTGGAGCCTGGTGAGCAGCGGTCAGTCCACCACATTCCTCTGCTCCAGGGCTGCTGTCAGGCAGCGTCTTGCTGGGGCATTGCTGGCCTCCTGGCCCTGCAGAGACAGCTCTTCCTGAGCGGCTCTGCTTCTCAACAGTGAGGCGATGCGGCACCACCGTGAGTGGCATGGTTAAGAGCCAGGCGGTAGCAAAAGAGAGTGGGTTGCCTGAGGCCCAGGGAGCATCTCTCCTCTGGAATTAGAGGCTTTGAGGTGGATGGTCTGTGCTTGGTGTCGGCTCATTGCCCACGGGCTGCCCCAGAATCGGGGAAAGAGGAGACCACGTGCAGGGAGTCACTCGTGCAGCCTGCATTTCTGATCATGCACAGGTCCTGACCGCTGCTCACCTTCCATCCTCCTTAGAATCTTGGGTACAGAAAGCTGGGGTGTAATTAATTCATACCCCCAAAGAAGGAGCCACGGGAGAACGCCGATTCTCTCAAGTGTTGGTCTAGCCCAGCTTTCCAGGCCCTGGGTGCCAAGGGTTAGCTTTGCTTCTGATTTCTGCCCCAAGAGCTTTGCAGTAGGGCAGGGCCTAGGCTCCTTGCTGGTCAATCTGCTATGATATGAGCAGGAAGTTCTATGGCTCTGTTGTAGGCATGTCGCCTTCTCTGTCTCCTTTCTGTAGTCCCGATGAGTTAGGCACATAGTGGGGAGGAGCAGAAATACTGAGCCCTGGGAAGGGGTCGGGGAAAGAACAGCTTTAGCTTTCTCCGTGAGCGGGTGAAACTGCCGTAGCAGTGTGGCTGGGGGTGGCCTTCCACGTAGGCTTGCACGTGATGCACTGCTACTGGTGAGCAGCCTCTACAGAACAGAGGGGCCGGTGGCAGGAACTGGGCGTGGATCAGGGTGCTGTATGTGTTTGTGTGCTGTGTGCATATGCAGTTTTTCCTTTCCTCTCCTTCCCCAGCCTGTAGTCGCTGAGCTCACAAGATCCTCCTTCCTTTATAGGTCCCCAGATGAGGCCTTGCCTGGAGGTCTTGGTTGCAGCAGTGGGAGCAGCCACTACACCCTAGATCGGGCAGCCCATGCCACCTCTGACATCCCCGAAGCCTCTTGTGAGAAGGCAGAGAAGGAGGCCAAGCTGGCTGCTCAGAGGGCGGGCGAGCAGGGAGAGACAATCAAACAGTTTGACCTGAGCTATGGAAGTGAGTCTGTCCCCTCATATCTTTCGGGGGAAGAACCCAGGCAAAAGCAAGGTCCACACAGCTCTGCGGGTGTCTAAGTTGGCCCTCTCACTGATCATCTTAACCTCCGGGCAGATGCTGTGCTAAGTTCTGGGGCTATAGTGGTGAGCAAAACAGATATGATTCTTGCCCTCGGATTGCTTATAGCCTTGCTAAACCCCTATAGCAGCATTGCAGTGTCCCAGTTTTTTTAGAGGGGGAACCTGAGGTCCAGAGAGGTCAAGTGGTTTGTCAGTGGTCACACAGCTGGTTAGTAGCAGAACTGGGACTTCACTGTGTCTGTCTCCAAAGACTATTTTCCTAACTGAAGTGCTACTAAGGCCTCTTTGGTTTGAGATAGCAGTGTGTTAGAGGGAGCATGGAAGGGTATAGAAATCACAGCCAATTTCTGTAGACCCCGGTGGATGCGCTGCGGCTCCTTGGAAGTGTCAAGCCAGTTACTGCCTGGCCTTCTGAGCTGAGCCCATACTTAGATATCAGGTGCCTATAGGGTTGGGTTATTCTTGGCTTCTGATGAATGGAAACACTGTCCTTCTTGTGGAATCTTGCTTCAGATGCCATCATTGAAAATTGCGGGTCCAGCCCCGGGGAGGAGAGTGAGGTGGGCTCTATGGTGGGTGAAGGCTTCATTGAAGTCCTGACCAAGAAGCAGCGCCGCCTACTGGAGGAAGAGAGGCGAAAGAAGGAGCAAGCCGTGCAGGTGAGGGGGTGTGAGGTGAGGAGGGAGCGGGGGTGGGAGGGCAGGCTGGTGCAGAGAAACGCAGAGCCAGAAGTAAGACAGTCCCGAATTAAGCCCAAGATAGAAGAGAGCAAGAAAGGAGTATTTATTAAGCATGTGTTGTCTCCCAGTGCCCACTAGCCCAGTGGCCCTGTGGGAGCAGATGGTGTTATCACTGTGCTTAAAGAGGGAAACTTGTCCTGGGTGACGACATCTGAAACGTGGCTGAGCAGAATGCAGACCTCCATCAGCCCCCAAGTCCTGAGTGGGATGCGACTTGTCACCCTGGGAGTCTTGAGGGTCGGGGACCCTGCACTCAGACGGAGTCAGGGCTGGGCTCTGCACACTTGCCCCTGCTCTCGGCGCTCAGATCACAGTCCATTGGTCCGTCAGCCCTTTCCAGGGATGGTTTAGTTGACATTGCAGTTCACACGTGGTTGAGGTCTTGAGAGACAAGCGTTCCAGCATCTGGGGAGCAGTTTCTGGTGGTGTGGGTTTGGTGCCCGGGGTACTTTTCCGGGGAGAACTTGTCATTCTTCACCTCATGTCAAGGCTGGACTGCATCGCCTTTTTTCTCCCTAGGTGCCTGTCAAAGGTCGAGGTCTTTCCTCCCGGATTCCTCCTCGGTTTGCTAAAAAGCAAAACAACTTGTGCCTGGAACAAGGCGATGTGACTGTGCCTGGCAGTAGTTTGGGCACCGAGATTTGGGAGAGCAGCAGCCAGGGTAAGAGTTGGGGAGTGGGACTCAGCTCCTTGGCCTGTGGCCGCCTCACAGGCCTAGAGTCTCTTCTTTGGGAACAGCCTGCTTTGGGGGCCATGAATACAGACAGAGCATTACCTGTTTCCTGGCTGCTTCTACTGAGCCTGGAGCGTTAGATGCCATTGTGGCACCATTTGCTGCTGCAGCCCCTGAACAGATGTAAACCTTTCTCTGCCTGAAATTTGGTGGAATTCCGTTTGTCCAGTGATCGGGAGAAGGGGTAGCCCCCTGCCCTACCCAGCTGAGGTCTCTCAGAGAGTTGGCTTGACTTTGCCCATGTCAGTTATCTTTTCTCCGGACCTTGTGGGAGAGCAACAGATGACTACAAGGAAGGAGAAAAAGAGGCCAGAAGCTTTCTGTCTGCTGTGCAGCCTTCTTAACCCAGAAGGAAGGTCCTGTCAGCTCCTCCCTAACTGCTTTCTTAGACAGACAGCCCGAGGCCAGAGTAAGGGAGACCTTACTTGTTGGAAAATAATTCATATCCAATGCTATTTTTCTGGTAACTTTTCATTTTAAAATACAAAACCATTTTAATTGAGCAGATTCTTCTTGAATGCCTGCTTGGGGCAGGGCCCTGCAGAGTACACAGATAGATAAAACGACGACACATGGCTCCTCACGGGAGGAGCTTGGAGAAATCATCCATTTCCGGCTTATTTTTATACAAAGCAGCCAAGCCTTCCAGAGTGAATTGACTTGACCCCAGAGCCACATGACAAACACCCAAGATTCTTGGTTCTGGGCCTTGATTCTTTCAGATTTAATCACATGGCCTATCCTCCTGTTCCTGGTTAAAACCTTGGTTGCAACACATTGCAACCTTGGGAACCTTGGGAAATACTGAACTCTGATTGAAAGTATGATAATCTTTAATAAGATATTGATATTGGTCAGTTTGGTGGTGTGTATGAGTTATAGTTATCAGACAAATGTCCAAAACCCCCACCCACTGGAGTAGGTAAGCAGAGCAGACTAGACTCAGGAGTCACGTCGCTTGTCAGGCCTTTCCCTCCAGGATTCTGCCATGTGGCTTCAGAGGGCCCCTGGACCTTAACATAGCATGGAGAGTTTTGTGTACGTACACAAGGTCCCTGGCTTTTGTCGGAATCTCAGAGTGGTCTGTGAGCTAACAGAATTTGAGTAATACCAGCTTGGATCTTTCAGAGATTTTACAGAAATAAATAGTTGACTTAAGTATAAGAAAGCTTCGCCACAGCAGAGGTAGTGATGCAGAATTCTAACAGTTGTGAATGAAAAAGTTGCTGGAACGTTTACTAGAGCATATGATTGATGAAACAATGAGAAACGTGTTTATTGAAATCTGTCTGAGGGGGTTGGAAAGTTGGGTGAAGCTGTCAGACTGGCTCCTGTGTATCCAGTCTGTTCACTAGTGTATCGTTTGCAGGGCAGGAAGGTGGTTGGGGGACTTGGGTTGTGCTACTTGGTCCTCTGATGCCGTGACTCTGTCTTCCTCCCTTTGGCAGCCCTCCCCGTTCAGGCCTCGACCAGCGATTCCTGGACTAAAGCCGCCACTGTCTTCAACAGCACCGAGTCTGGCTCTGCTGAGGTGAGCGGCCGCCGTGCTGCTTGGGTGCTGAGTGTGTGCTCACTGTCCACATGGCTAGCTTGTCCTGGGCCTCCTTCATGCCCGCGACCTGCCCGAGCTCTCCCTTGGCCACAGCAGTAGAGCCTGGACCAGAGGCCATTGCCACGGGCCCTGGCTCGTTGCTGGTCTTCAGTCTTGATTTCTGGCCTGTGTGAGACAGAGGGAGAGAAGGATGACCACGGAAATCCCCCCTGGTAGGGCAAGCGATTGAGGGCCTCTCCCCTGAACCTGGGACAGTGGTCACGTGGTCTGGTTTGGGTCACAGGTGGGATGAGTTTGGCAGTCTCTGTCCAGGGCCCACCGCGTATCTCGTGGTTATGAGCTCAGGCGGGGTTGGTGCATTTGGTCATGTGTCTTCAGTTGTCAGGCACCATTGGCAGTTCAGGACCGAAATCAGGACACGACTCTGCAAGGGGCGGGCGGATTGGAAGTTTGCATCTCAGTGCCCACTCAGCCTCGCTTTTTGTTTTTTTTAAAGATTTTATTTATTTATTTTTCCCCCCAAAGCCCCAGCAGATAGTTGTATGTCACAGCTGCACAACCTTCTAGTTGCTATATGTGGGACGCGGCCTCAGCATGGCCGGAGAAGCGGTGCGTCGGTGCGCGCCCGGGATCCGAACCCGGGCCGCCAGCAGCGGAGCGCACGCACTTAACCGCTAAGCCACGGGGCCGGCCCTCAGCCTCGCTTTTTGAATGGTCGCATTTTTGAGTCTGGGGTCAGGCTCTAACCCATTTTGTGCCTCGCACAGCAGGGCTTTAAGAGCAGCCAGGGAGACAGTGGCGTTGACTTGAGCGCCGAGTCTCGAGAGTCGTCTGCAACCTCCTCACAGCGCAGCTCCCCATATGGCACTCTAAAACCAGAGGAGATGAACGGGCCAGGTCTGGAACCCAAGGCCGACGGCCACAAGGAGCAGGCTCAGAAGCAGTCTGAGCAAAAGGTACCCTGGAAGTCTCTTTCGCAGGGCCAGGGCCGGGGCAGAAGGGGCCATTCTTTTTTGTTGTCTTCTATTCCTGGGCGCTTAGAAGCTTGACATTGGAGTCATTGCAGTCTTTGTGTCTCAGCCTGTCTGTTTTTCCATCAAGGATTCAGAACAAGGCTCAGGACAGAGCAAGGAACACAGACCAGGACCCATCGGCAATGAGCGTTCTCTGAAAAACAGAAAGGGCTCGGAGGGGGCCGAGCGGCTGCAAGGGGCTGTCGTCCCGCCTGTCAACGGGGTAGAGATTCACGTGGATTCTGTGCTGCCGGTGCCGCCCATCGAGTTTGGAGTCAATCCAAAAGTGAGGCTTTGACTTGTTTCCTTTCTTCCCTCCTTTTTTTTTCATACTTGGAAAGGAGGGAGGGGCTTAGGGTGTCTCTTAGAAAGAGCAGGGAGATGGGAGCTAAGCACGGGGGGTGCGACTGAGCCGCCTTCTAGATTGTCCTGCTGACACCACCCAGGTTCTCAGGCTGAGCAGGCTGGTGATCTTCTGTCGGGTCAGCCAGTGGGCATGGGCAGGGAGAGAGAATAAAAAGGGGGTGGTAATCTTGTTTGAGTGCCATGGGGAAACATCTGGCCATCTTGCTTGTGTGATGAATGCTGCTTAGTGGAGTTTTTAGTGTGTGTATGTGGGGAAGATTATTTCTGGGCTAACATCTGTTCCCATCTTCCTCTACTTTATATGTGGGATGCCTGCCACAGCACGGCTTGATAAGTGGTGTTTAGGTCGGCACCTGGGATCTGAACCTGCGAACCCGGGGCTGCCGAATTGGAGCACGTGAACTTAACTACTATGCCACCGGGTCAGCCCTAGTGGAGTTTTTGAGTCACTGAGACCAGACTGTGGGTGTAATTAATACGCATCTCTGCTGAAAGGCGAGGCAGGGTGATTTCAGTGGGCTCTGTTCCCCTTTCTTCAGGACTCTGATTTCAGCTTGCCGTCTGGTTCTGCCTCTGGTCCTGCAGGGAATCCGGTTGTCAAACTTCAGGAGGCCTTGGCCAGTAACGTAAGTCTGTGCTTCCACCTCCAGCTCTGTTGTCCCCTGTGCTGGCAGGCTCTGGGTGAAGGAGCCTGGTGTGGTGCTCTGAAGCTAGGCGACGAGGACCAGCACCAGCTTTGGGGTTGGGCAGACCTGCGTTTGAGTCCTGGTGCAGTCTCTAGCTAGCTACATGTTCTTGGACACATTTCTAGAATGTTCCACACCCTGGTTTTGTGACTTTAAAATGGGATAATGTAATCCCTGAGGTCTGGTTTATTTGGCATTCTTTGATTCTATAGTCTTCCAAGTTCTGTGGTTACGTATGTTTGAGAATGCTGGGCTAAACAAATGTCTTTACTCTCAGATTTCTTAGAATCCCTGTAATATGCTAATGGGCACTGGGCATCTGCAAAAGGAGGGTCTAGCAGTTGCATTTCTGCACGTAGTTCCCAGGCACCTGTCTTTCATAGTTTCCTTGGGGGCTGACACAGGAGCTGGGGAATCCAGGCCAGGTTGTGAGTGCCCACGTGCTCGTAGCCGGTCATTTTTGTGTTGTTGAGATGTGGCTGGCCCTGCTGACCGCTCTGTGGGGTGGGGATGTGGAGGTGGCTCTCCACGGACTTGTGTCCAGGGCACCGATGAAGGCAGCTATTTGGAGATAAACTATGGTCTCTGCTGATGCTGGCAGCTTCGTCTTGGTGGTCTTGAGTGCATGTGGCCAAAACTGAAGGTGCATTGTGATGTGCTGTCTCTTTTCCTCTCTGCCTGTCTGTGTTCCATGGTTTCCTTCCCCTTCCAGGCTGGGCTAACGCAGAGTATTCCCATCCTGCGGCGCGATCATCACATCCAGAGGGCCATTGGCCTGTCCCAGATGTCCTTCCCCACTGCCGACCTCACTCTGAAGGTAACACCAGCCCTGAGTAAGCAGCCCCGCCCACCCTCCTGGGGCTTAGATTTGTGCTGTCCGTTGCCTCCCTGGTAGTAATTTTCACCCCTCCTTTGCTTCCAAAGATGGAATCTGCACGTAAGGCTTGGGAAAACTCGCCCAGTTTGCCAGAGCAGAGCTCTCCAGGAGGCGCTGGCTCAGGCATCCAGCCCCCGTCCTCTGTGGGAGCCTCCAACGGAGTCAACTACAGCTCCTTCGGTGGGGTTTCCATGCCACCCATGCCTGTGGCCTCTGTAGCACCTTCTGCTTCTCTTCCAGGTATCTGCACTCCCCCCACGCCCCACCCCCAGCTAGCTCAGGGAGCTTCTCCATTCCCTCTTGAGAGGAACCTTGGATTGACAGCCTGAGCACCACCCCTGCCTTGATTTAGGAGTGTGAAGAAGTGGGAGTTTGTTTCTGTGCTGGGTGGTTCTAGCTTCCCACGTGCTGCAACTTGCACTTCCTGCTTCCCTGCTCTGGGAAGCAGAACCGTGGGACTTGGGCGAGGTGCTCATACCTCCTGGAGAGAGGCATGAGCAAAGACGTGGCTTTGAGTCAGACCTGAGTCACATGCAGGGGTTGCGTCTCCACCTCTGCCAGTGAGTGTCTCAGCGCTCTGAGCAGTGGCTCTCTCCTCTGTAAAATAAGAGGAGGGGGATGATGGTGCTCTGTGGAGTGGCCGTGCCCATGAGACAAGGTCGTCCCTGGAGAGTGCTTTGTATCCACTGAGCCCTCGATAATTGATAGCCCAGTTGATAGCCGTTTTTATCACTGTGTTGGTGCCCCACGGGAGAGGGTGGGGGTTTTGAGGGCCCAGCTGCCAAAGTCTCAGTGATGCAATTCCAATAGATCCTTCTGACCCTCCACTGTGGACTCAATAGCAGGGAGATGAAGAGGAAAGTGACTGAGAGACCAAGGCAGCCCTCAATTACAGTGAGACCCCTCCTGAGTGTACGGGGCAGTGGGCGAGTGGTCAGTTGGGAAGGGTAGGCTGGAGCCCGCCCCCTCCTTCTGGGCCCTGAGCTGCTGCCTCCCCAGGTTCCCTGAGGGACGAGCCACGGGTGTGGTCAGCGGGCGTAGTGCTGCAGGAGCACAGGGCCAGCAGCAGGGGACACTCCTTCCCTCCACTGATTCTGCAGGAAAACGTGCCCTTGTAGAATGTCCCTTACAGGGACATTCAGAAGCAGTGAGACTTGATCCTATTCTACCTCCTCTCGGATTCTGTTTCCAGGCAACCACCTGCCGCCTCTGTACCTGGATGGCCATGTGTTTGCAAGTCAGCCCCGGCTGGTTCCTCAAACGATACCTCAGCAGCAGAGTTACCAACAGGTGATGACAGCAAGCAAGGTGGCCCGGTGGGGGATGGGGGTATACCACATGGCGTGATGGCCGTCTTCATTGATTTGTTCATTGTCTGTCTCGTTTTCTGTATCCCTCACATGTAATGCTCAGCTCCTGGGACATCACAACAATCAGTCAATGTTTGTTGAATGACTAAATGAGAGACGAGAAATGGAGCTCAGTGCTCCAGACTCTGCTTAGTTTTCCTTTCTCAAAGTTCTCCTTCCTGTATCCTAGCTGGGGAATTAGCTGAAACGGAATTCTCTTTGGTGATCAGGTGTCCTTCTGATGAAGAGAAGAAAGGCCTAGACTCCCAGGCATGGATGCATTAGAAAGAGGTAGCTTTAGAAATGAGCAGATGTTTGTCTTTGTGCTGGATTGGCACACTTTCTGTGCTGCAAGGGGATGATTTCTGGAAGTCTCCCTTGTGCAGCTGGTGTGGGGCCTTCTGAATGGTCCGGTATCCACACAGACCCGTGTGCCTGCACGCCTGCAGACCAGGATGGTGGAGCTCTCAGGGAGAAGCACTGCTCCAAGTGCAGATTCGGGGACAGAGGACTTGGCCTGTCCTGACCTCTTTTTAGAACATATTCTTAAATATTACATTACTTAGTTTTGCAAGATTTTGGTCTTCATATAACTGGATCATACTGCATGTATTCTTTTTCATGTACACTTTCCATTTACCGCTGTGTTCCTGAAATCCACCTGTATTGATAAGTGTAGCTAGGATTGGTTTGCTGCTGTGCAGAATCCAGTATAGGAACATACCGTGGTTTGGGGTTGCTAGCCATTTTTTGCTTTTTCCTAAGAGTAAGGGAAGCACAGGAAGGACATGCTCGAATTTGCATCTTGGGCAGTGTTCCAGCTGCCACGTGGAGAGGGGCCAGGGCTGTGGGCGGTGGGTAGAGGAGAACCAGCTGGGAGGGCATGGTAGTTACCTGCCTGGCTTTCCATCCACAGGCTGCCGCGGCCCAGCAGATCCCCATTTCCCTTCACACGTCTCTGCAGGCTCAAGCCCAGCTTGGACTGAGGGGCGGGCTCCCTGTCTCCCAGTCCCAGGAGATCTTCAGCTCCTTACAGCCCTTCAGGTGAGATGCGTGCACTTGAGGGGCTGGCAGCTCGCAGCCAGAGGTTCCGAGCCTTCTGGCCTGTGGGCTTGTTCCTTTTGTCCTGCTGTTGCTCCCCGCTCTCTGCTTTGAGGCTGCTGGGGGTGTGGTGGTTACAGTCCATCATTCCCTGTTTTGCAGGAGCAGCCATGAGCCTGATACTTGGTTGGCCCTGCTTTTTTCCCCATGTCCTCCTGCCCCCTTCCCTTCTCCCCTCCCCCCCCAATCCCTTCTTCCCGCCTTCCACGCCTTTGACCTGCTCTTCAGTGTGTCTGAGGTCCTGTGCTTTGGTATCACACAGGTTTTCCTGTGCCTTGTACAGCCTGGATGTGTCCATTTGTTTAATCCAGTGATGCTCAAACTGTGATCTCTAGACCAGCAGCATCAGTACCATCTGGGAGCTTATTATAAATGCAGCTTCTCAGGCCCCATCCCAGACCTTCTGAGTCAGAAACTCTGGGGGTGGAGCCAGCAAGCTGTGTTTTAGCAAGCCCCCCAGGGGATTCTGATGGGTGCCCACGTTTCAGACCTGCTGGTGTGCTTGCACACCTGACCCCGACCATCTGTCTGGCTTTTGCAGATCTCAGGTGTACATGCACCCCAGCCTGTCACCGCCCAACACCATGATCCTCTCTGGAGGCACAGCCTTGAAGCCTCCGTACTCGGCGTTCCCAGGCATGCAGCCCTTGGAGATGGTGAAGCCCCAGTCCGGCTCACCCTACCAGCCCATGAGCGGAAACCAAGCCCTGGTCTACGAGGGCCAGCTCGGCCAGGCTGCCGGTCTGGGTGCCTCCCAGATGTTGGACTCCCAGCTCCCACAGGTCAGGAGTGCAGTCACTCCCCCCACAAACACTAGACCTCTTTTCCCTCAGACTCCTTTTCTGTTTTATCTGCCTCTTCGTGCGTGCTGACTTACGTGCGGTTTGTAGCCCTGACTGGTCCTTAGGCGGCTAGAACCAGGGCCAGATCTTCCACCTCTTCTGAGTAGCCCCCTCACCTCTTCATCCCTGAGACAGGCTTTCCCCTCAGCCCTGCTGCTCCTGCAGCCTCTCTCGCCGCCTCATACTGTGGGGCTTGGGGATGGGGAGTGACCTCTTGGCACACTCAGTGATGTTTCTAGACCGTTCTTCCTCCTTCTCAAAACCCCAGCTTTTTTTTTTTTTTTTTTTTTTTTCAAAGATTTTATTTATTTTCTGCCCCCAAAGCCCCAGTAGATAGTTGTATGTCACAGCTGCACACCCTTCTAGTTGCTGTATATGGGACTCGGCCTCAGGATGGACAGAGAAGTGGTGCCTCGATGCGCACCCGGGATCCGAACCCCGGGCCGCCAGCATCGCAGCGCGCGCACTTAACCGCCAAGCCACAGGGCCGGCCCTCAAAACCCCAGCTTTGAGGCCCACACCATAGACTGTGCTCCTGCTGGCCTCCACGTTCCTGCGAGCGCCATATTCCTGAATCCAGTGTTTGGTTCTCCATCTTCCTCTCCCTTGACCCATTGGCAGTATTGGACAGCTTTGAGGGTCACTCCCCTCCCCTGCTTTGACCCCTGGCTCAGTTTCTCCAACATGCTGCTTTTCTAGTTCTCCGTGGTTTCGATGGTTTCTGCATAGATGATACCCCCAGGTCGCTGTACCATGGGCTCTGTCCCCCCAGTTACATGGCCTTGCCACCAGTGCTGTACTTCTGCCATCGTTTCCAGCTTAAGGGTCCTCCCCAGTCACCATCTCTGACTTTTCTACCTTCCTCTCTCTACTGAGCTAACTCCAGCCACCTTTTTATCATTCCTCACCCCACTGTGGGCTCACTTCCCTCCTTGCCCTCGTTAGTGGAGCCTCTCCTTTGTATTTGCACTCGCTCCCCCGCCGCATTGTATTCATCCTGGTTAAATCCAGTCCCGCTGCTGCTGCAGCTATTTGTGACCGGAGAAAAACAGACCCCCATTCAGACTGGACTCGGGCTAAATATGACCTTGCTCCAGACAGTCAACCTCAAGTGGGTCTGGGTGCCTCCCTGCGCTGGAGCCCAGTCAGGCCCCCGCCCTCCCGGTGGCTGTTTCAGACTCACAGCTTTCTCCTCATTGCCTTCTATCCCACCATGATCTTGATTCTGTGTCACCAAGGAAATATCAGTAGTAACAAAAAGAGAATTTGTACAAGCTCGCATCGCCGCGTGTCTTTGCCTGCGTGGGTGGCTGTTGCCAGGGTGGGCCAGCCGTGCTCTCTGCTCTCGCAGCCCATGCTTTCCACCTGCTCTGGGCCGGGCTCCAGCATGTCTCCCTCTCTCCTGCCTCAGTGTCCTTTCCTGTCAGCACACAAATGTGCCGCAGTGCTGCCCTCCGGCTGTGAGGGTCTCTGATTACATCCCCAGCCACCCTCTCTTTGCCCCTTCAAAAAAAAACCGTGAAGTACCCCAGTAAATTCCGTGTGGCCGAATCTGATGGTTTGTTCCTCACGCTCCTGCTGCGTCAGCAGCATCTGAGCTGATCACTCCTTCTCCCTTGAAGCACGTTCTTCACGTGGTCGCAAAGACTCCGCTCCTGGTTTTCCTCCTCCACCCGAAGCCCTCTCCCTTGTTCTTCTCTGCTCTGTCCTCCTTGCCTCCCCCATCTGTAATGTCGTGTGCTCCTGGGTTCTGTCCTCGGGCTAGAAATAGTCCTGTCCGTGTTCTCCCAAATTTATATCTTCAGCCTAGATCTGTCTCCTGGACCTGAACTCCAATCCGGTGGGCTGCCCGGCATCTCATGCTTAACGTGTGCAGACATTGTGTCCAACACGTGACTTTCCGTGCGGTCCTTCTGGTTGTCTAGTCCATGTTGTCTTGGGGCCCGACTTCCCATGACACCTGCTCTGATCATTCAGCAGGTCCTGCCAGCTCTACCTTTGAAAAGTGTTCAAAAATCCAGCCCTTTCTCATCTCCTCCACCCACCACCCTGTCTGGGCTACTGCAAAGTTCCTGCCTGATCGCCCTGCTTCAGCTCTCGGTCCCTGACAGTCTGTTCTCAACACAGCAGCCGTGGTGCCCCTTAACACACAAGTCGGGTCATACCACACCCCGAGCCAGCGCCCCACAGGTGGCAGCGCTGTCCTCGTCTTCATTCTGCACCATGTTGTGTGCAAGGGAGGGTATGGGGTCTCGAGGCTCTGGCTGCCACACGTCTCAGTGATGCAATTCCAGTAGATCCTTCTGACCCTCCACTGTGGACTCAATAGTAGGGAAATGAAGAGGAAAGTGACTGAGAGAAAAAGTGGCCCGCCCCTCTCCCCCTGTCCTGAGAGTCTCCAGGCACACCTCCTTCCTCTCTCTCGACTTTAGAAGTGGTCACTTAGGCCTTGCCGTCGTCACCCCATTCTTCTGTCATAACATGCTTCACAAGGATCCCAGAGGCTCCCTAAAGACCAGATCCCAGCTTAGTCTTGTTTTCTAGCCTCCCTAGAGGCCAAGCAGTAGAGGAGCTTTTCCTTTCTGTGCTGCACAGAGGGATGCAAAGACAGACTTCCTGTACAGCTCTCATCTTTTGGGACTTGGCTTAGACGTTCCCTAAGAAGCCATCCTGACGTTCCCTAACTCTTCTTCCCCCTCCCCAGCAAACCCCCCTATGCACATGGGGTTTGCTGCCTGCACTTTGCACTCTGGGCACCCTGTGGCTGTGTCCAGCATGTCACTGCACTGTCATCACCATTTCCCGGTCAGACAGTCTCCTGGTGCTTCCCCAGCACATAGGTGCCTTCAGTAAATCTTCGTTGGATGAAAGCAGGAGGGGCCGGGGATACCCGACCTTTTGCGCACTCGGAGAGGAGCTGCACACTTAGGCTGTGAACTCCTCGCAGTGTGGCGCCTGCCCTTGTCTTCTCACCACCTGCTGTATGTACTCCAGCGATCGGACCTGCCCCCTGCCATCGAGAGTGTGAAATCTAGGGTAATCTCTGCTGTGCTCTGTAGAAGCCCAGGATCTTTACTGTTGTGCAAAGGCCTCACTTTAATTCTTTTGAAATAAGACTCTGAAGTATAACGTGTGGTCACTGTTGGGTGCGTGTGTAACCAGTGGTCTGTGGCATTCTCCCCGACATCCATTCCTCCTCCTGACTGTCCCTGTCGTCCAGCAGCTGACGATGCCGCTGCCTGGCTCCCAGCTGCCCCTGCCTCGGTACGGCTCTGGGCAGCAGCCCCTGCTTCTGCCACAGTCCATCCAGCTGCCGCAGGGGCAGAGCCTCTCTGTCGGGGCCCCTCGAAGAATTCTTCCACCTGGGTCCCAGCCTTCGGTCCTTAACACCAGCAGAGAGGTAAGGATACCTTCATCCTGCTGTGATCCTAGGGAGGGTCCTTGTCTCATCAACCCTTTCGAGCTAGTCAGGAACCACTGTTGTGGCAGAAAATGCCAGAGGTCTGGGATGCAACCTCCTGGCCTTGCCATACCACTGATTTCCTGCTTGTCATGAAGTCCTCTCGGAATCCCATGGCAGGAACAGGGTTCGTGTGTAAGCTAGCAATGTAAGCAAGCTTGAGTGTGGGTGGAGACTGCAGAGCAGAAAGGGACGTATGTGTGATTGATGCCTGAGGAACAGCACGGCCTGGGAAGCATCTGTGAGCCTAGTTCAGATGCAGGTCTCAGAGATCCTGATAGAGTATGTCTAGGGCTGAGGTCCAGGGATCCACATTTCTCACCAGTTCCCAGGGGTTCTCCTGAGGGTGGCCTCGGGTAGAGAGGTCATGTCCACAGCATTGTCAGTGCCCTGTGGTAGTGCACAGTCTGCTCTCCCCACTCTACTCAAAATAGAACAAAAACGTGATGGTACCTGCTTCTAAGAAAAAGCCCTCTTAAGCCTTGATTGGAGGGGAAGGAGAGCAGATTCCTTTAAAAGATAGCTCTATCTGGAAATTCTCTGGGGCCCTCAGCGGCTTTGCCCAGCGTGAGTCCGCGAGGGTCAGCCGGTCTCCAGGGCCATCAGATGACAGCTGGTTACTTCTTGGTCTCTTTAGTCCTCTCAGATGGAGATGAAGGGCTTCCACTTTGCCGACAGTAAACAGAATGTTCCTTCAGGAGGCTCCGTGCCATCACCACAGACCTACAGGTAAAAAATGCCCTGGGAGTCGGATGCTGCATGGCCGAGCGCTCGCTGTAGATGAGACTTGATGGTTCACAAGAATCCGTGGGGCACAGGGAGAGCAGTGGAAGGGCACTGAGGCTGGTCCCCTTTGTAGGCCCATGTGTCCCTGTGAAGTTCCAGTGCTGGATACACTCGTGTTTTAGTTAACCACGAAAAAATCAGGAATTGGGAGAATGGCTTTGTTTTTAATCATGATCATCAAATGCTCTGGATTGGGAGAGCTCTCTGGAAAGGTAGGAAAGGGAATGGCTAACGTTTTAATAGTCTCAGGACCGACCCTGACTACTCCCAGCTTTCTCACCAGATTTTAAAAACAGATTCACTGGCCAAGAAGGCATGCACCCCGGAAGGGGAGGAGACTTTCCTTTCCTGGGGCCGCTTTCCCCTGAACTGGCCCTCTGACCCTGCCAAGGCTTGTTACCGCAGGGCTTGTGGGGCCGTGCCTTGCACACAACGAACTGGCACCTCTCTTTGCTTCCTCTGTATCTGTCTCCACTTCCAGTAACTGTCCCAGGTCCCTTAGCTGGGTTCGGAGGTGGCTTTGTATGGATTATGTGGAATTACTTATTATATTAAAAAATGTGAGAACCTCTGGTTTTGCTGACCTTTTCACCCCTGGAGAAGATGTGCTGGGATGGGAAGACAGCATGCTCTGGCTGTGGGCCCCAGGGTTGGGACAGTCGACTCTTGTTACATGTGGGAGATTCCTGGAGGTCCCTCCTGTTTGCAGATGAGTAAAGCAGACATGTGTGACTGCAGTGCCCTGTGAGAGGTTGACGGCATGGCTCTGGAGCGCCATCAAACCCCTCCACGGCACACAGCCGCCTGACCAGTTGAGGAGCACTCTTGCCAATCGGATCACCATCTCTGCGAGTCGTTTATGCTGCCCGTGGTCACTCTGCCCTGGTGCTCCTTCTTGGAGTGTTGAGGCCGAGGCCACCTCTGTCACATCATTCCATATTTCCAACTGCATTTCCAGAGAAAGGGATTTTTGTGATTTCTTTTTCCCCCATTTCATCATCTTTTCTGTTCTTATTTTCATTCTCTTGGCTTCGCTTACTTTTGTTTGTTTTGTTTTCCAACCATATTTTTCACATAGGCCAAAACAACAGAACTATAAGGAATATATATATGGAGAGCAGCACAGAACAATGAGTATAATTAGGAAGAAAGAAGGAAGCTTCAAGTAGAACCAGATGCTGCCATTCCTCTGCTGCCACAGGCAGACTTGAGCAGCATCTGGCTTCCTCAGAGGCAAATCCAGAAAAACGAAGCTCCCATAACAAGAGTCATCTGTGTCCATTTGGTGTAGGAATGGCAGCAGCTTTATTCTTTGGAGAATATTTAGAAAATATAAGCCTTAACTAGTAGCTTTTCTTTTGTTGGTGTGTTAGTGGGGTTGAGAAAGTTAGTGTATTTTTATAGAGCAGTGTTTCCCAAGTTTTCTGGAAACGCAGCTTCTGAGGCATGCCTTGCCATAAAAGGGTTCCCTGGTCAGATACTTGGGGGGCATGCTGTACCCAAGTGGCTTGTTGGGAGTCGTGGTGCTCCTCAGCACGGAGTCTACGTGGCCCCACCACCGAGAGTCCTGTTCATCTCCGCACACAGCACTTCAAACGCTTTTTGACCACAGAATCTTTATTTACGTAACGCCTGATTAACATCCCTGAGCACTAGTGTCGGGTCAACGGAACACATTCAGAAAGATGTTCTACATTTTTGTTCCTTTTGGTATGTCTCTCTGCTACCCCCTGCCCCCCAAAACAATGAAGAGTAGAAAAATATTTGGCATAATTCTTATACCAGGTTTATAGACCTTTTCTTGGGTCATAGAATCACTTTGCTCCAGACCCTCCAAACCCTGAGAGATGGTTAGTGTCTGTCCATCCATCCGGTCAGTGTCTGCCTGTAGTAGGGGCCTCGGCCTCTGCCCCCTCGGGTGCGTCTCTGTGACCTACGTTGGGGGCGCCAGGGCAGACCGTGACTTCCGCCCTCACTCCTCTGCACTCTGGCTGTCTGCGGTCTTTGTTTCCTCTGTGGAGAGGTCTGCGCCGCGCGCTAGGCTTGATTCCGTTTCCGTGGTGATGCGTGTGTGTTCTCACCCCCTGCCTTTGGTTTTTTCAGGCCTAGCTCTGCTAGCCCCAGTGGGAAGGCCTCTGGATCAGCAGTTAACATGGGCTCTGTGCAGGGACACTACGTTCAACAGGTAGAAGATGGCTTTCCAGACCCTCCGGCCCCGGACGCTTAGGCCCGTCTCCAAGCGCCAAAAGAGAAGGGACAGTCCAGCCTGTTTGAGTGTGCCTCTTATAGAGAGAGACGTGCCCTAGGGCTTAGAGCATGGCGCCGGGAGCCGGGCAGCCCGAGTGCCCCCTGGCGAAGGCATTTCTCCTCTTGACGGGCGTCTGGATCCTTCCTTGTCCTGCAGAGAAGGGAGGATGCGGACTCCTCTGAGGAGGTGACGCCAGAAGGTGGACTATCCCTCCATAGTGATTTGGGCTGTGAAGGCGCTGGACACGGTTAGGTCTGTGGGTCAGCTCTAGAAGCCGGGGCGTGTGCGTGTGTGTGTTCGCTCCCGTAAGTGCTGTGTCTTGTCTTGGTCTTTGGCTGGGTGGGATGACAGATGCAGTGATGTTTTCCCATTTTATAATACCAGGGATTTCTCAGTGTCTTTGCATTCAGGCACTATTCTTTTCACTACTGCTCTAAAACGTGACGGGCCTCCAGAGCTCAGGCCTGGCAGGCAAGGGTTTTAACAGAACAGCACCCCTGGGGGGTGGAGGCGGAAGGTTGATCGCTCATTTCGTTGGCTCCCCAGAGGGTCACTCCTTGAATTGCTTGGACTGAGCTTCTAAAGCTTCTTCCAGAGTTCACCCCACTGTGTGAGGGCAGAATCAAGGCTGGTCACTCTGTGACACATTCCACTGTGCAAAGCTGCAGGCTGATGGCACCCTGACTAGGGATCTCATACTAGGGTCCTGGGGAAAGGTTTCCACAGAGTGGGAGTCGGGGAGGGTCCAAGATCTGGGAGAAGCAGCCTGCCAAGAGGCCCCATACCTCTTCCGCAGACCGTGGGGGGTTCTGAGACTCGGAGGGTGCGCTTGGATCTGCTTGGGGGCGTTTTCACCTGTGGGGCATGGGGTGCACTGATTTGAAAAGGTTCTTCCAGTCGGCCTTGGATGTGTTGCTCCTGCAGAGGCCAGTGGGCATTGCAGAAGCCTTCCGGAGGACCCGGTGCCTTCTTGCCTCTCCGAATCACTGCACTCAGCGCCCGTGGGAGGGAACAGAGCGGCCTCATGCCAGTGTCCTTCATTATTTCTAAGTCTGGTTCTTCGACCAAAGGATGGCCTTAGGGTAGCTTTCCTCTGTGACTCAGCAGCAGGAAGTGGGTGGTGGGAACTATGTATCCAGACGGATGGTTCTGCGTAAGGATAACTTTCTTTGTCCCCATTTATCTGTCCAAAGGCAAAACGAGTGGATGAAAAACCCAGCCTGGGAGCCGTGAAACTGCAGGAGGCCCCTGCGGCCACCTCCCAGATGAAGCGGACCGGAGCAATCAAGCCTCGGGCGGTGAAAGTGGAGGAGAGCAAGGCCTGAAGGTGCTCGGCCACACCTCACCCCTTGTGAGGACAGTGAGGACAGGGCTACCACTTGGCCTCTCCACAGCTGGATGCTCGGGAGTCTCCCCAGATCCACCGTCCAACCACAGGCCGGACTGAGAGATCTCCTTTCTCTCCTCCACTCCTGAAAGCTCCATTGTCCAGCCAGCCTGCCCCCGTGGATTTATGGCATTGACCTGCTTACTTTAGTACAAACAAAACAAGCCAACGACTCCATTCCCACCTCCTCTCCATCCGACCTGGAGTGACTGGGGCCTTTGTGCAGTGCAGATGCCCCGCCCACTCCGTCCTGCTCCGCACAGCCGGGCGCTTTCTCAGCAGTGCTTCCTTCCCTCGCGGACTTCCGGGCCCTGGGCACAGTGGTTTGGCAGCCGGGTCATTTTAGTTTGAGGCTTTTTGTTTTAAAAAGCAGCTAAGGTTTTTACAAAGGAGAAAGGAAAAGAAAACAAAAACACAAGCTACGTCTGTATAGCTGAACTTTTATACTTTCTTCGCCATCCTCTCCCTGACCCCCACTTGTGTTCCAGTAATTTCCTCTAATCTCTTTGCTGTTTAATTTGGTACATCACTGCGATACCTTAAGAGCTGACTCTTAAGAATGCATCTCCTCCTGCTCTCTTTCATTGGTTAACCTTTGAGGGTACTTGCAGACACACACAGAGGTTATGCAACACACCGTGGCTCACGAGCACTCCACTGTCCAGCTATGTGCTTTGGAAGCAGCGATGTGAGAGAGGTGAGGGAGATAGGTTCTCAGTTGGGTTCTAGCCCCTGGCCTGATGACTGCAGGGAGCTTATGGGCAGCCCAGTGAAGTTGATGACATTTTTTTTAGCATTAGAATTAACACAGTGGCTACGCTGACTGCTGGGCACTCAAGATGAATCAAGGAGATATGAAGTCACTGGTGTTTTCCAGTTTGGCTTGGAGGGGGCGAGCTGACGGCACCATGACCCCAGCGTCTCTGCTCTGGGGCTCCAGCACCTGTAGGGGCTGCTGTTTGCACATACACTCCCTTTCCTCAAAGCTTTCCAAAATACACCCTTCTCCTTTCTCCTTACCTGCCTCTTAATCCTCTGGATCCTCTGTCCCCACCTCTCACGCAGCTGGTCACTAGAAACCATGAGGGTTTTCCACGTGGTGGCAGGAGTGCACAGACAGCTTTTGGTTGGGTCTGCAGCAGAGGCGTGTGGTCTGTGAGGCTGCTGGGAGGGCTTCCTTTTTCTCCTTTTCTTCGCTCCCAGCAGCAGACCCAGGTTGTTGGGACAGAGGGGCCTGAGCTGGGCAGTGGGTGTCAGTTTTTCCAGACGGCTGGGGCAGGGTCCAAGGGGAAGATGGGTTGCAGGGCCGACCATGGTTCCAAAACAGCCTGGGCAGCCTTGGAAAAATGACCGCCTCTCAAGTCTGCAGAGCTGCTTCTAGCAAAATGTTTGTGTGAGCCATTTCATGCTGTTTTTTTTTTGTTTTTCAAATGGTTTTGAAATGTTTTTCATGCTGGTTTCTTATTTGTTTTTCAAGTAAGAACTAGAAGGAAATCATCCCAGATTCTGTCATTCCAAGGAAAGGGGAGGGGAAATTTCAAGTTTTGCACATGCTCTTCAGAGTAACTAACCAGTCATCTATCTAAAGGAGTTGCTGCCTGCTACCGCTGGTGGTTCCACAGCGGTTCCAGGAAAGACCTGGCTCGGAGGACGAGCAGTAGGCAGGCGGGGATGTGCCCCCCGGAGTCCTCCCTGGGTGTCACTGCAGGTGTGTGATTCTGCAGGCTGTGGTTCTAAGCTCTGTGTAGTGTGGAACATGGGGAAAGAAGCACCTCGGGAACTGCTGGAGTAACTCCTTGTTGCCGGACTGCTTTGAGGAGGTGGGGGAACAGCCTCCTAGCAGAGTGCCGGGTGTCATCTGGAGAGGGCTGTGTTCTTGAAAGATGCTTTCCTGCTCAGTCTGTAGCTCTCAGCATCCCCTTCTGGCCTCCACCCGCAGAACTCACTTCTTCACAGCTTGTCCTTTTTTACTTCTTCATCCCCCGAATCTTTACTCTGAAGGCCCTTCTTGAGGGACTGCGCACTTGACGGAGTCGCCTGCACTCGCCTGCTGTGTGCTCATCTGCCCTTCTCTCTCTTCTCTTGCGAGCATCTGACTGCAACTCAACTCCCTTCTGCCTGCCTCCACCGCCCCGCTGCCCCTGCAGGAGCCACACACGACCTGCTGCCTGTACACTGAGAAATACGGCCAGACCCTTCACCTAGTTCTGATGCACATTGTTTGTCAAAAGGAAAAAAGGTTTTCTCATTTGGAAATTTAACAAGCCAGCCCTGGATGCTGTTACAAACTCAAGATGTACCCTTCAGGTGAACCTGCCGTCAGAGTGACAGTACTTCCTGTTTGACAAAAAATAAACACAAAAGGGTCACCTGTTCTTCAGCCCCTTTCTCTACCCCTGTATCACCCCCCAATAAAAACAGAAAACACTAGAATTTATTTATATGTATTGATGTTGTAGGTCTAGGTGAAAAAAAAGTAAATGTTTCACTGCTCTATTTATATATAATGTCTGAATTATTCTGTGCAGGAAAGGCCAGGAAATTGCATGTGAAGTTCAGTGCGTTCACCACCTCCATGTGCCCGTGCTGCAGTCTCTTTCCCGCTAAGATACAGATTTTAAATTGGACTCTCGGGGCAGAGGGCAGGTCTCGGGCCTGCCCAGCACCCCAGCCCTTCCTTGGTCTGATTAAATGCAGTTTTTAGTGCAGAGATGTTTTAAGGTGCAATCTCTCTCTTCCTTTCATGTGGTCTTAGAGCCAAGCTCAAGGTAATAGGACTTAGGGTTTTATTTTGGTTCCAAACCCCCATCAGAGTGCAAATCCATGCAGAGGCCTCTGCTGGGGTGCCATGGGGTCTTTGGTGGGAACAGGTAAAGACCAGCACTTAACCTTTTCTGCTGCTGAGATGGGGGCGGGGGTGTCAGAGCCCCCTCTCACTGCACCTTTGCCTGCTATAATCGCCCTCCCTTCTGATACTGGCAGCTTTGCCCTGGCCATCAATGGTGCGGCCTGTTGCTTGGCAACCAGTGACCCTGCAATAGTGTCTGTCCAGTGTCAACTACTCAGTGGGGTGAAATCCCAGAGGGTGGGGTTGTGTATCCATCTGAGAGGCATCATCCAGCCACTGAAGACTTCTCTGCCAGCTGTATTTGGTCTGGTTTTCTTTACTGTTGCTTCCCCCTTTTTATCCATGTTATTAATGTTTTCAAACTTGGAATTCCTACACTTCTGGCCCTAGGTTCCTTAAGGGAGAAACAGAGAGTGACTTAACACATTCAGAAAAAGTGGTTGGTCCAGTTCCAAAGCCGTGGTCATTCCAGCCACTTCTAGGGATATTAGGGTGTCCTGTCATTAAATATTGGTATCGGTTCTCTCCAGCCATGCTTTTGCCTTCCTGTCTTCTGGACCTGCCTTCTGGATGGTTGATGAGGTTTGTGACTGATGCTCAGAGCCAAGGAGGCTGAGGGTGTGCACACAGCCATGTTCAGAACCGGCCCCCTGAGGCAGGCAGTGTGTGGCAGACTGGTCAAGCCCCTCCCTGCTGTTTGGTTCCCCTCTGCCGGGTAGCTGCATGTTGCCTCTCCAATCTGTATTTGTCCCTTTTCACTTCTTGCAGAGCAAGCCTGGGTTAGAAGGTCTGGTTGGAAATGGCCTTCGACAACCAAGGACACTAGAGTGTTGGTGCTTTGTCGTGTTCTGTGATGAATGGGAAATGCAGACTTCCAGAAAGCCAGCTTTGCCTGTTTGAAAATGTGAGACGGAGCTACGACAGACAGACAACCTGGGACAGGAGCCACTTGGTGTTGGGGTCAGACTCTGTCCCCTGCCATGCTCTCCCCGGGACCACCAGCGCATATCCGGCTAGTGATCTTCCAGGCACATCTGACCTGCTCACCGGTTTTCCACCCCGGTTGGGTGTCTCCAAGATGGTAGTGCATCCCCAGGGCCCTGTCTTCAGCATGTTACGAAGCCTCGGAGTGGGAATTTCTCTTAAGGCTCTGTGTGGATGACTTTCTTCCATTGTTTAAAGGGGCTACTGTACTCTAAGCTTTGGACCTCATGCCTTGCGTAGTAAAAAGGGTTTGGGGTTTTTGTTGTTCTTGAGAGGGTTGTGTTTTGTTGTTTCCTTTTGTTTTTATTTTGGCCTTTTCTCTGTCTCTTCACGTAGACCAGATATTTGAAAGGGCAGACGATGGCTAAAGATGTAATGTGCAGCTTGTTTATACATTATTTTGGGGACACTTTTATCTTGGATGGGAAATGGAATCATGGATTCACCAGGCCATGGCGGCACTCACCCTTTGCCCTTTCCCTCCGGTTCAGTACCTATTGTTTCTCCTTTCAAATATGTGATTGTACTAGCTCTTTCCATATGAAAGAATTCTCCTTATTTAAATAAAAAAGTTAAAAAAACTAAAGCTGAACTTGTTTGCTTAGGCTGTGTCCCCCTCGATTCTGTCATTTGACTGGAGAGACTTAACAGATGGAATCGTTTTCCTTTTTATGGACAGTTTACATGGAAATGAGGAATGACCTGGCTGAATGCCTTAACACGAGGGAGAGAAGGGATTGAAACCTGGGTTCTGGGTCCTGGGTCCTGGGTCCTGGGTCGTCGGCATCAGCAATCCCCACCCTCTTCCCAGTGGATGGAACTGAGGGTGTGCAGGACATCTGCCTGCCCTCTGCCCCCCGCCCCCACTTCCCATGAGAAGTGGGTGCATTGGAGGAGATAAGTGATTGATTTGTCGTGTATTGTTGCCACTTCAGGTATCTCTGTTCTTTTCCTGGAAGTAGGAGAAGATCATGCTGCACTTTGGGGTAGGAAAAAGGAGCAAGCCAGGCATGGGGCATTGAAGGGTCAAGGGTTTGGATTTGGGTTCATGCAGTAGTTCTCAGTTCTGCCACTGCCTAGCTGTGTGGCCTTGGGGAGTACTTCACTTCTCCCAGTCACAATCTCCTTAACCTAAAACGTGGACTCTAACAGTACCTCCCTCATGGGGTAGTGTGGATTCAAAGACGCGGCACTTAGCACAGTGCCAGGCACCACTTAGAAATTATCCCCAAGTAAGTTTAACACTGTTTCCGTGAAGAAACCTGCCTGAAGATTCCTTCTAAGCCTCCTCACTATGGAAGAATGGCACCCGGGCATGGGCGCCTATCAGCAATAAAGGCCACATCCATTCCCTGGCTTCACCGCCCCTGGGGACAGGTGGTTCACAGAACTTGAGGAGGTGCCTGGAAGGAGGCTGAGAGCCCCACAGGATGGAGGCTCTGAACCCTGCAGACGGGCCCTGCTTGCATGAAAGACCAAAGGATGAGAGCCCAGCCCAACTCCACCCGGGGGCCCAGGGAGCCCGCTCTGCCACAGGCGGGGTGAGCCTCGGCTCCCTCCCTCTCTACAACCTTGGTCAGGGGTAAGTCAGAAGTCTCCTTCACTACATTCTAATCGGCGTCATCTAATGCTGGGTAGACCAACAGGTGGAAAAAAGTCCTTGCCAACAGTAAAGAGCCCTAATTCCAGTTATTAAATCTGTAGTCCCCTTTCTGTGCATGAGTATTAAGACACACAAACGAGGGGATCAAGACGGGGTGGGACTGGGGAGAAGCGCTGCGCCCCGCCGCTCCAGTGAGAACACGGGAGGGAAGGATCCCTTAACCCAGGGCACCGTGTCCGGCGCAGGAGCCCGGGTGTGGGTGGGGCGTGGGCCCGCTGGCCCCGCCCTCCGCAGCCATGGGCCCCCCCGCGCGCTCGGGGCCGGAACCCGCTCGCGGGCCGGTCGCCTGACACGGTGGGTCCGCACCTCGCTGAGCGAAACGCGGGTAAGGTCCCACCGTGTCGTTTTAAAGGAGTACCGCGTGTTCCGTGTGCACAGGAAGCCTGGACCGCCAAAGCCGTTAACAGAGAGAGGCGTGTCTCCACGCCGTCCACACCCTGCGGCCCGTGCGGCGTCCGCCCAGTGCGCACGCGCCCCTCCGCGTCGGCCCCCGCAGGCGCGGCGAATCGAGCGTCGAGCAGGGCAGAGGGTGGCTCGGAGGGCCGAGCGGTCTTGCCCCCGCGCGCTGCCGGAGCCCGCAACGGTCGGCGACCCCGGCGGATCCGAGGCGTGGCTGGGCGCGGGAGCGGCTCTGCCGGGACTCGAAGAAACGCGAGTACGCTTGGGGCGCCGGGGACAAGAGCCCAGTCGAGACCTGGGAGAGTCGGTGCGGGACGCGCGTGTGCGGCCTGCGGCCGAGCTGGGGTCGGGGGCGTCCGGGTGCTGCCCGAACAGGGGGCGGCGCCCGGGCAGTGCAGCCTGCGGGAGAGAAAGGGAGTCGCAGGAAGAGGAGTGGGGGCCTCCCGGGTAGATGAGGTCTCTGGAGAGAAGGGAGGTGCTCAGGGCAGGTGCAGCTTCAGGGAGGGAACGGGGGCATCCGGGGTGGATGTAGCCTTGAGAGAAGTGGAGCTCAAGGGAAGATGAAGCCTCGGGGAGGAAACGGGGGCGCCTGGGTGCAGATGCACCCTCGGGGTGAGAAAGGGGGCGCCCAGGGGATGGTGAAGCCACAAGGAGGGATGGGAGAGAGGTGCTTGGGGCGGATGAGGAGGCTCTGAGGCTGAGACGGTCGAGGTCACCGGGCTGTAAGCTGGCCACACTGCCCAGGTGGGGAGGGGCAGGGGAGGCCATCTCATTAACAGCGGCCTCCCTCCCAGGAAGGCCCTCCAGGTGTTCGTGGAATGAGTTGTTGAATGAGTGTTCAGTCCTGGGATTCCTGAATTCCCGTCTTGGTTGGCTGCAGGTGCCATCCTGACTTTCTCAGCGACCCCACAAGGTGGTTTTCCCTGGTGCATTTGGGGTCCTTTTCTCAGCCTCTTGTGGGCCTTCAGGGTTGCCCTCCTCCCGCCGCGCCCCCCCCCCATTTACTGATGACAGCTCTTCCCCTCTTTTCCAGGGTGTCCTCCCAGCCTGCTTTTCTACAAGATGTTGGGGTTTTTGCAGCGCCCTGTGGTGGTGACGGCTGACATCAACTTGAACATCGTGGCTCTGACTGCGGTGGGGTTGCTGAGCCGACTGTGGCGACTGGCCTATCCAAGGGCTGTGGTGTAAGCCAAACAGCTCCACTCAGGGTGAACCGGATGGAATTGTAGTTTGTTCAGTGTGCCAGTGACAGGAGGTGCCTTTTTAAACAGTGTAAATGGGAGAGTAAAATTCTGGGCTTCTTGGTGATGGATGTTTTGGGCAGTTAGAGGAGAGACCAGTTTGTCCCCAGGACAGCCCCTGCAGAGTCCACTTGTTCGATCTTGCCCTGAAGGTCTGTAGCAGGTGCGGTAGCCTTAGGTGACCATTTAAAATCTGGAGAGTGGAAGGTGGAAGATTGAGGAATTTGAAAGTGAGTCCTCATTGACCTTAGAGTGTGTTCTTTGTCATAATGGGAAATGATTGCTGTTGTTATTAAAGGGCTGTTTGTTATCTGATTAATACATGTGTGCTTTTTCATTTAACTTTTTATTATGGAAAACACCAAGCATATTAAAGTAGGGAGAAGAGTATAATGACCCCCAACCAATGTATTCACCACCTGGGTTTTTTTTTAATAATTTTTTTATTTATTTATTTTTTCCCCCAAAGCCCCAGTAGATAGTTGTATGTCATAGTTGCACATCCTTCTAGTTGCTGTATGTGGGACGCGGCCTCAGCATGGCCGGAGAAGCCGTGCGTCGGTGCATGCCCGGGATCCGAACCCTGGGCCGCCAGCAGCAGAGCGCACGCACTTAACCGCTAAGCCACGGGGCCGGGCCGCACCACCTGGGTTTAACAGTTATCAGCTCATAGCCAGCCTCCTCCCTGCAGTGGATTTTTTTGAAGCAAATTACAGATGTTATGTTTCATTCATAAATAATTCAGTATATATCTCTAAAAGGTCAGGATTTTTTAAAGCCACATGACCACAGTAGCATTATCAAGCCTAGGAAGTAGATAGCAGTTCCTTCGTGTCGTCGAATGTCCCTGGTTGTCTGAAAACGTTTTGTTGGGGTTGGTTCCTACACGTCTCCCTCTTACACCTGCGACTGTTTCGTTGGGTCACCAGCGCTGGTTCTGACTCTTAGCCACGGACATGCTGGCGGATGGGGGATTAGCCTCGTGTCCATGAGGCCTTTTGGTGGGCTGGGTGACAGTACACCCTTAATCAAAAACTAGAGAGACTTGGGGCCGGCACGGTGGCGCAAGCGGTTAAGTGCGTGCACTCTGTTGCGGCTGCCCGGGGTTCGCCGGTTGGGATCCCGGGCGCGCACCCACGCACCACTTATTGAGCCACGCTGTGGCGGCGTCCCATATAAAGTGGAGGAAGATGGGCACGGATGGTAGCCCAGGGCCAGTCTGCCTCAGCAAAAAGAGGAGGATTGGCAGATGTTAGCTCAGGGCCGATCTTCCTCACCTAAGGAAAAAAAAAAAAAAACTAGAGAAACAGAATTGGTGTCAGGGAGGCCTCCTGTGTGCCCGCTGTTCCTGGTGAAACTCCCCCCATCCTGATGGATGGATGATGCTATACATGTGTCTTAGTATTTGGGGACGCACTGTGGTTGGGGCATCACTCCCTAAGGTCGTTTGGAAACACAGGTGTGCATTTACCCTTGCACCTTTTGTTTACAGCTCAATTTCTAGTTGAGTATGGTGTGGGTTTGCTTTTCAGTTTTGATGAAGTATACTATGGGCAGTACATCTCTTTCTACATGAAGCGGATCTTCTTTTTGGATGGCAGTGGACCGCCGTTTGGCCACATGCTGCTGGCCTTGGGAGGTAGGATTCACCAGTAAAGAAGTAGCCCTTTAACCTTGTAAGTGAAACTTCTTGAGGGAGAAGCCACATCATCTTAATTCTTTTATCATGGTTTCCCTATTGCCTGCCACAGTTTGGCACTCCAGCAGTATTTGCTGAATGGGATAGATCCTGATTAATCTTCTGTTTTAGGTTATTTAGGAGGATTCGATGGTAACTTTTTGTGGAACAGAATTGGAGCAGGTAAAAGATCATTTTAATTTCCTTTATTTGCATATATTAGAATGGAGAGGTAGTGGCTTTTGTGGGGATTAACAGCTGCGTTGATTAATCTGAGTCCAGGGTATGATAAGTTATTTTACAAGTGAAAGACTTTCCAAAAGTCTGGTAAATATCTTAGTGTTAACAGTAATTATTTTATCCCTAGTTTGTGCACACAGCACACTCTTTACATGGCATCTAATCACAGTTATCTTTTGTATGTATAAATTTTGCGTGTTGCCACATGTTTTTGGAGATGGGGGGGTAAATTTATAAGTAAAGCATTAACTAATTTCAGAATCCTTAGTTATCATTCCTGTGCTTAATGAGAGCTGGTCCTTGACTACGTAAAGCTAATGTCACTTGCACACCCAGTTTCTGACGTGGTCCTCAGTCTTGTAAACTTGTGTTTTAGAGTCTATGAACATGATGCTCCATTTGAAAGCACACCTGCAGTATATGAAGGTGGTGTGTGCATGGTGCGCTCAGCTCTGCTGTGGTTGCTTTTCCAGAATACAGCAGCAACGTGCCTGTGTGGTCTTTGCGCCTGCTGCCAGCCCTCGCAGGGGCCCTGTCGGTCCCCATGGCCTACCAGATTTTGTGGGAGCTCCGCTTTTCTCATTGTGCCGCCATGGGAGCTGCTCTGCTGATGCTTATTGGTAAGACCTGGGCCTCTGCCTGCTTTGGTGTGGCACAGGGAAGAACCGAGCGTGGCCTTTGTTACATTTCAGTGTGCGGCCCAGGAGAGTGCATGGGTTTAGTGGATGTGCTGTGGCATCTTATATTCACAGGACAGATGGAAGCACATCCAGTTCATCCAGAGGTGACTCTGGGACTCACGCCACCCCCAGGCTGTGGGATTGTGGAGCTGTATGGTCAGACTTGAATGGTCTGGAGGTGTGGCCATATAAATCGGGGCTGCCCAGAGAGTGCTCCTAGATACGTTGTGAGCACCTTCACCTCCAGCCTAGTCTGTCACTAAAGTATAACCTCTTGTTCCACCACCTCCGGGGCCTCGACCAATTGAGATGGACTCGGGTTAATGGGTATTCCTCAAAAAGGGTCTTTCAGCCCAGATTTATGAACAAATGAAATTAAATCAGATGAAAAGTTAGACTAGAAAATAAAATGAATTTGTGTTTATTAAGTGATGACTCTAATTGAGGCCCTGTGCCAATCTAATGTTATAACATTCATGGTGGCCCTAAAGTCAGTATTACTTCTGCAGGTGAGAAAAATAAAGACTCACAAAAGTTCAGTGACTTGCCCAAGGTCACAAAGGTCTCGGTAGGCGTGAGAGACACGTACAAATGCTTTTGTGGTTCTGGAGCGTGTCCCCTCCAAGCCACCCCTGTTCTGAACTTCCCTCCTTCACATTATGTGACCCTGGAATGTATCCTTTTGTGTGAGTGTTTTTATCTTTATACATTTGCCCTTGCTGCCTTACAACTGACATAACGTATCATCTTTCTAACAGAGAATGCTCTGATCACTCAGTCAAGGCTAATGCTTTTGGAATCAGTGTTGATATTTTTTAACCTCTTGGCCGTGCTGTCCTACCTGAAGTTCTCCAACTGCCAGAAACACAGGTATGGAAGACGGGACACGCCCTCCTTGTTGATGAGAAGGGTCTTGGTGGTTTGTTGACCTGGGAACGTCTGATATCTTTCGTTTTGGGGAGCTGCTCGCTAACTATCTTGCGGTCACCTAGATTGGCCCTTGGCTCATGACTTCATAAATACACCCTCAGTTTTCTATAACTTAAAATAACTGGAAAAACATTCTGGCCAAAAAGAAGAATTCTGCCGGGACTGATGTTTTGGGAGATAAGGATTCCCTTTTCTTATACCTGAAGCCGGGTACCACCAGCCGACCCCGAGAGAGCTCTGAGACGCATGGCCTCTGCTTACATTCGGGCAGTGCGTGGTGAGCTGTTCCCAGCTCTGCTCTCTGCTTCGCCCAGGCCCTTCTCTCCGAGCTGGTGGTTCTGGCTGGTGCTGACGGGCGTGGCCTGCTCCTGTGCGGTTGGGTGAGTTTGCTCTGTGGGTCTGGGCCGGGGGTGCATCCTCCCTGTGCTGTATCTCATTTTAACTTCCTCTCCATCGTGTCTTTGTAGCATCAAATACATGGGTGTTTTCACGTACTTGCTTGTGCTCGGAGTGGCTGCCGTCCACGCCTGGCACCTGATAGGAGACCAGACTTTGTCAAATGTAGGTGCCAATGTTGAGTGTGGCATGAGGGTGGCCCGCGTGGGTGTGCGGAGGGAGAGGTGACGGGGGCATTTGGTGAAAAGGCTCCAGAAGAAGGTGGGCCTGGGCGGGCCTCCCCGTCCACGTCTGCCTGAGAGGTTGGAGTTTCTGCCGCTCACTCTCTCAGAGCCTGCCCTGTCTGATGGGCATTTCCGTGTAACAGGAAGTGAGCGTTCCTCCATCTTCTGGCAGGTCTGTGTGCTCTGTCACCTGCTCGCCCGGGCAGTAGCTCTGTTGGTCATCCCGGTCATCATGTACTTGCTCTTCTTCTACGTCCACTTGGTTCTGCTCTGCCGCTCTGGGCCCCACGACCAGATCATGTCCAGTGCTTTCCAAGCCAGCTTGGAGGTAAGAGGAATGCCACGGCTGTCTTAGAAAGAGGACGATACTCGACTCAAAGTTTTCATATGTAAACGCCATCAAGTGAGCATTGGGGAAAAAGTCAAATCAAGAAATGAGGAATCCACTTCAGTGTTTTAAACTGATTCTGAGTATGCTGATGGTATGGAAATAAATGGAGGGGTTCGCTCTCTTCAGACAGACTGCTCTTCAATGCTGGCTCTGTCGACGGCCAGTTCTGCGTGTCGGGGCAAATTTCCTAACTCAGCCACGTCAGTTTTCTTGTCTCTTAGACAGACATAATTCCTCTTACACGGGATGCCTGTGAGAGCTGAGGTGTGTGTGGAGGCTCAGCTGGGCGCCTGCCCCGGAGGCAGAGTCCGTGGAAGCTGCAATCGTGATTATGTGATGTGATACGACAGGATTGTGTCATGCATGACTGTCGCTAGTTATGTAGTGGTCACTGCCACCAGCCAGGAAACGCCCCCCGACGGAGGAGCGGCTGTCAGGTGAGTGTAGTCTGCTGTCTCTCTCACTTGGCCCCTTTCTGCTTTGTCTCAGGGAGGGCTGGCTCGCATCACGCAGGGCCAGCCCCTGGAGGTGGCCTACGGCTCCCAGGTCACCCTGAGGAACGTCTTTGGCAAACCTGTGCCCTGCTGGCTTCATTCCCACCAGAACACCTACCCCATGATGTAAGGAAAGTGACGGTTTTAATTTGAAGATTATACAATGTTTGGTTTTTTCACATTTTTGCCACTACCAGCTTTCACTTTAAATGAAGAAGTCGGGGCTGGCCTGGTGGCGTAGTGGTTAAGTTTGCGTGCTCCACTTCGGCGGCCCGAGTTCACAGGTTTGATTATCCTGGGTGCGGACCTACGCACCGCTTATCAAGCCATGCTGTGGCAGGTGTCCCACATAAAAAACAGAGGAAGATGGGCGTGGATGTTAGCTCAGTGACAGTCTTGCTCACCAAAAATTAAATAAATAAATGAAGAAGTTGAGAGACAGAAAGAAATGGAGCTCTCAGATCCTGATTAGCAACGAGTCTTGTCGTTCCTGTGTGTAAAACAGTTGGAGGGGCTTGCTGAGCAGAAGGCCCTCGCACTCCCCCACGTCTGCCGTGCGACCCCCACACACGGGGCGCCCTCTCCTGGCTCGGGTGCTGCTCAGCGTCATGTCTTCTAGCCCCTCTTAGATTTAAGCTTATCTCTTTTATCCTGTTTTCTCCTAAATGCCTTGCTAGGCAGTGTTTGTAGGAACCTTGGGAGAAGGGCCCATGGGCCACCTCGCCAGCCCACTCGCAGGTACAGCTCTTTGTTGGCTCCTTCACGCAGATACGAGAATGGCCGCGGCAGCTCCCACCAGCAGCAGGTGACCTGTTACCCCTTCAAGGATGTCAATAACTGGTGGATTGTGAAGGATCCCGGGAGGTGAGGACAGAACTAGACTCCCGCACGGAGCTCCCCTCTTGGCCTTGCTGGCCGGGGCCCTGGGCTAGTCCCTCCCTCCCCCTCCCAGCTCTGAGACTGGCTCTGTGCTGATGGCCTGCGGTCAGGGGTTAGGTGGTTCCTCAGTGAACTGCCTGCCCTGTAACTCTTCCTGGGGTTGTCCAGATGGGTCCCAACTCTCCTTCTCCACCTCCACTCCCTCTCCCCTCCGTACAAAACAAGGATCCCTCTCTCAGAGGCAGCCCCTTGCTCAGGCCTCTCAGATGGAGGTCTCCCTCACTCTCCCTCCCCACCTCCAGTCCATCAGCTTGTCCTAGTGATTTCCTCCAAAGGAGATCTCGAACCATCCGGGTCTCCGTCTCCACCACCTCCTGTCTTCCCCTGACAGTCTGTTTCCACGCTGCGTGCCCCACCCCCTGCCGTGGTCTTTTGAAACATAACTTAGGTTCAGGTCACCCTCCTCTTCACTCCCTGCCAAGCTTCTGTTGCCCCTCACGGTGGCCTGCAGGCCCACGAGGTCGGCCCTGGCCACCGCCTCCTTCCTGCCGCCTCCTACTCAGCACTCACTGCCTCTGATTTCTAAACCCTGCCGTGGGCTGTGCATGTGCTGTTCCCTCAGCCTGGAACCATCCTGCCTGTGGCTCCTTCTTACTTAAGACTCGAATGTCAGCTGTCTAGGAGGCTGCCTGACCGCCCTCCAGGGCTCCATGCCCCCTCTCTGTCCCTGTGCTGTTGTCTCCCTCATATCCATAGTCGTACAGCTCCTGACTGTGGATCTGTGTGCTCTCGTGTTCACTGTTCTTTCCATGTAAACTGCAGTAACGTGAGGGCAGCAGGCCACCCCGCTCAGCACCCCGCCTGGTGTTGGGACCCAGTAGGGCCTTAGGCGCTTTCATTGAGTGAATAGTGAACCAGAGAGCCTGTCTGTTAGAAGGATTTCTGGGCAGGCGTGTTTATCACTGGCATTCGTAGACAAACTGAAAAGTGATCATGGCACACGGGACCGTGTTCGGAAGCTTGAAAGGTGACCTTAGGTTTCAGAAACGAGTTAAATAAAGCCTGTGTGTTTTGTTTCTACACGAGTTCACCTCATCTAAGGTGCAAATTGATTGGCAGCTGCATGATTCCAGACTGCCCCCATTATGAGAACCCAGAGCCCTTGCCGCCCCGGTGAACGTGGTTATTTTGCGAGGGCACCGTCCAGCCGGCGCCGTGTCTTCCAGGCATCAGCTGGTGGTAAATGACCCGCCGAGGCCCGTGCGGCACGGAGACGTCGTGCAGCTGGTGCACGGCATGACCACCCGCTTCCTGAACACGTGAGTCCCCGGACACTTGCCTCTGGTTCTCGTCCCAGGAGAGCTCACCGCCTCTGGTCTCTCCCTCCCGGGGTGGAGCAGTGCTGTCATCTGCACTCTGCGTCGGGGGGGCAGCAGTAGAGCTGCAGGTGAGTCTGGTGAGACGGAAGCACCTAATCCATCCCACAGCAGGAGGCCCGGGAGCTTGGGGACACGCGGTTGGTGACCCGGAGAGTACTAGAGTGCTTGCCACATCGAATGACGTGTGGCCGCCTTCCACAAAGTGGTACCCTCCGAAGTACGGGTGTGTCCAGAAGGACGTAAGTTGAGGGATACTTAGAGCAGGAAGGATCGCTGCGTGTTGGCTCTTGGTCCTTACCTGACTTGATCTCTGAGTGGCCTCTGCATATTGACATACCGCGTGGCGTCTGTGCTCCCTCCACCCAGCTCTCAGGTCATCCGTGGGGTCTTAATGACTCCCACATTTGGGCCTCAAACGCCACGGCTCTCTGGGGTGCTGACAGGCCCCTGGCCTCTGGCCTGCTTCTCCCTGGAGAAAACCCAGTTGCTCAGCCGTCACCGTTGATTCTTCCCTGTCCTCTCCCATTCCACATTTACTCCATCAGGAAGTCCTGGCGTCTCGACCTTCGGAACTGACCCCAGATAAGGTCACTTCTTCCCGCTCCCAGGTCCCAGTCCAGGCCCCGTCCCCTTCGCCCTGTGCTGTTGGAACCGTGCCCTTGACCTCCTGTCCCTGCCCTCCTCACACGTTAGCCCACGGCCCCCTTTGAGGAGACCCACCATCTACTCACATCGCTTCTCTGCAGAAAGCCCTCCAGTGACTTCCACAGTGTGACTACCACACTCAAAGTAACGTCCCCACCTCTCCCCCCGCTGCAGGCCCCTGAGGACCCAGCCCCTGGGGACCCCTTGGTGACCTTCATTCCAGTCACCCTCGCCTTTACACTATCTCTGAAACAGCCAAGTGCAGCCTCCTTGGGGCCTTCATACTGGGGCTCTGTCTACCTTGAATGTTCTTCGACTCAGGTCCTCCATGGCCCACTGACTCACTTTCTTCAGGTGTCAGCTGAAATGTCCTCTCCTGGAAATGCATTTCTTGAGGGCTGTCCCTACCATTTCTGTTTTATTGGTAGTGCTCACACAGCCTGGGCTCTCTGGTCCATCAGCGCAATGGTCTGCTTCCCAGGGGTGAGGGGGTCCTTTTGCTCACCGTGGGGTCTGCAGCTCCTCCCAGTGCCTGGTGCGTGGTGTGATAAAGCGTGATTACTGCGTGAGTGGGGAGGGGAGGTGGTGTCTCTGGATGTCTGAGGTGGGCGTCACAGTGGGCACCTGGTCTTCCAACAATAGTCTTGGTGCCTCAGCCATTTCCGAGTCCTGGCCGTCAGGGCCATCAGCACATGGCTGTGCTCTTGGGACAGCAGGCACCGTCCTCTGAGACTCGTTTTATCCTCTGAAAGTGGAGTGGCGAGACCTGTGCAGTTGGGACTGACGTCTGTGAGATTCCACGTCGTGTGGACTTCCCCCTAGAAATGTGGTTATTGCAGAGTCGCTGCCTTGTCGGGTCTCCTTCCTCCCCAGGCCCTGAGGTGGCACATCCTTGGGGAGTGGCAACTAGGAGACCTGGTCGTCCTTTAAGGCTGAGCCAGCCTTGTTTCTGAAAAGCAGCTCTTCCCCTCAGAGAAATAGTGGATGCCTTTCAGAGGAGTGGGGGCATTCCCTGTGCAAACACCGTTTGGTTTTCCAGGCACGACGTCGCGGCTCCCCTGAGCCCCCACTCGCAGGAGGTCTCCTGCTACGTCGACTACAACATCTCCATGCCCGCCCAGAACCTCTGGAGGCTGGTGAGTGCCCCCTGGGAATGGGGTCGTGATGGCCGTCAGCAACGCGCACTTTCTAACACAGATGTTCAAAACTGCCGTTGACAATGATTCTGATTCAGGTGTAGAGTGAGGTAAGTGATTTCTAGTCATAAAGCGTCATAGGTGTCATCACAGGGAACAGACTTCCTCTTCTGTGGATGTGAGAATCTGGGTGGTTGTCCTGTATCAGAGGGACGAGTTTACAGAACGATTGGTAAAGGCTCCGTGCTGGGCTCTGTGTGGCTCACGTGGCTCTGCCAGGCGATGGTTCCCTCTGACTTGGTCACTTGGTCAGTCTGAAGATCGGGTCACTGAACACACAGGGTCGGGGGCTCCGGCCACCCTCTCTCGACCAGGGGAGCCTCTCTTGTGAACTCTTGCCTGATATTAACAAGTGTCCTTGCACAGGATTTCCCTAGGGAGAGGCTTGGCCCTCCAGTGGGGGGATTCCACAGGACTGCCCTGTCCTGAGGCAGCTGGGTCTGTGGTCACCTTCCTCGGAGTGACCAGGGGAACCTGCTCCCCTTATGGAATCACTCTCGCTCTTCAGGGCTGCACACAGCATCCTGGGGAAGGTAGCAGGAGGGAAGGGTTCTGTTACTGGGCCACGGCACCGTCTGTGAATTCAAGGACGTGAGTGTGAAATACGGCTGCAGTCCAGTGGTTGCAGTAATGCCCTGGGGTCATCTCTGTGAGAGTCTGACTCTCCTTCCAGCCTCCAACTGGCTACAGCAGCTCCCCACTTAACACTAGCCACCCCTCACACCCCATTTTAGTTCTTATACTGTGAAAGACCTATCAGCCTCATGCAGTGCCACTGGGAGGCCCTCACAGCAAAGCCAGGGGTCTGCAGGACTGGCTTTCCATTTTTGTGCACAGCAGCACATCTGCCTCCATTTTGCCTTCTCTGTGCTACAGATGTGTGTACATTCTGCTTCTCCATCCTCTCTGACGTCCGCGCCTTGAAGCGTGTTGTTTGTACCTGCTCCTTGTCATCGGAGCTCTCCTGACAGAATTTCTGCTGAAGGTCCCGCCCACTCCCCTTGCTGCTGCCAGCTTACTGCTGATCCCTTTCCTCCTCCTCCCCCTCAGTCCCTGCTGGTGGTGCCTGTGGCCCCACACCCACATTTCCAGGAGCTGAGGAACTAGCTCACGGAACAAGCAGGGAGGACAGCTGAGCGCAGCGTGTGCCTCCTTTCTGCCCCGCCTTGCCCCTTGGGTTCTCCGGTTCTCGTCAGCAGCTACATGACCTCACGGGGTCATCGTGAGGCTGCGATGAGCTAAGATACAGCAGTGCCAGCTGTTCTTCAGATGTTAGGTTCTTTATTACCCAGTATCAGGAGTCCCCTCTAAGGACATCTTTCAGGGACAGTCTCTATCCTTCATTTGTGCCGTCTTTGCATCTGCCAGATAAGGACTAAGAATGTTCGGTTTGGGGTCGAGCCCTGAGCCCTGTCGGTGATCAGGCACGTAGGGAGGAGCATCAGGCTGTTAAGTCTCCGCTCTGAAGCCTCTGTCTGCTGCCTTGAAGGAGAGCGGTGTGCTCTCCCATACACCCTCACACCAGCGTCCTGTGCACGGTTGTTGGGAAGAATGTCGCCGTGCCATCCAGGATCTGCCCATTAGCTCCCCTCGGGGGCTTGTCTCCTTATATCAGACCAAGTCGATTTCATTGTTTGATGACTGGGCTTCATTCTTACATTTAAGGAAATTTGAAAAAGGAGGAGATAATTGACAAGATCTGCTTTTACAGGAGATTGTGAACAGAGAATCCAGTACGGACGTTTGGAAGACCATCTTGTCAGAGGTTCGCTTCGTGCATGTGAACACGTCCGCCATCTTGAAGGTAAAGGAGCGCTACTTTTCGGCTTGGCCTCTCTTAAGCTGGGCTCACAAAATCCATTTATGGAACTCTTCAGGCTAACTGGGCTCTAAAGCAGGCCGGACGTTTGGTTCAAGTCATTGCTGGTTTACACTGAGGAGGGAGGTCTTTATAACTTCCCGGAACTGGGTCCTAACATGAGCTCCCATGGAGGAGAGTCTGCCACCTTGGATGGCTGCTGACAGAGTGACTGGGTGGGGGCTCCCCGTCCAGCCTGGGGGTGAGCCGGGGACTCGGGCTTCCCCATCACACCCCTTTATTTTCCTCGGTTTTGCTAGCTGAGTGGGGCGCACCTCCCCGACTGGGGCTTTTGGCAGCTGGAGGTCGTCGGGGAGAAGCTGTCCCCGGGCTACCACGAGAGCATGGTGTGGAACGTGGAGGAGCACCGGTATGGCAAAAGTGAGTCCAGTCCGCCTGGCCATCGTGCTCCCAGTCGCGTGGAACTTTAGTAAGACGCCAACACTAAGCCCTCGTTTTGGTGGGAAGTGGACACATTTTCCACGCTCTGTCGCAGACGCTCTCCTTCGCTCTGCTTAGCTGAGGCTGTAAATGACTGAAGCTGTTCTTCTGAGGTGTCTTGGGAAGGCAGTGCATGCTGAGCTTCCTGAGAGTCCAGAGATCCTGATTTGATGGGGTTGTGTTGCGTATGGGGGAAAACTAAGGGGAATGATGTGGTTTGATGGAATCGTTGTGGGTTGTTTGAAAAGCCAGGAAGTCAGCTTTTTACCGAGCTGACAGCTTCTGTTGTGAGCTCCCTGACCTTACTCTACTCGTGTTCTTTTGGGTTCTGGTATGTTCTGTCAGGCCAGGAACAGAAGGAGAGAGAAGTGGAGCTGCACTCACCTACTCAGATGGACCTCAGCAGAAACCTGAGCTTCATGGCCAGATTCTCGGAGCTGCAGGTGACTTTGCTCGGTGGGAGCTGGCTGCCCGCCACAGAAAGCACTGTGGTCTGTAGAGTTTTTACCTCCCCAGCGTCAGTCTTTAGGGGGGACGTGACTCAGTGTAAAGGAGCAGTTCCCTCTGTCCACTGTGAGGACACGCACGGCACTCTCTGTCCTGTGTCTTGTGGCTCTGCAGGCAGGAATAGTCAGGAACCGAGGAGATTCTGCAGCAGTGTAACATTGCCATGTTGCCACCGTATGTTTTGAGGCCCCCCAGGTCAGGTCGCAGTGGGCCAAGGTCAACATGATGGAGTGCTAGAGAAGTCAGAACCAGAAACTCGGTCCCAAATCTAAAACTGCCCTTCACACCAAGTCCAGTCACTGAATCCCCAGACGAAGCAACTAGAGCCCCTGGGGTGGGCACCTCCCGGGGCCCCCGACGGCTTAGAATTCAGGTCTCCTGACCAGCGTGCCCATGTCACGCTGCCTCTGCTGGGTGATCCCAGCGACCTTGAGGGTGGACACCCTACATGAAAGGAGCGGCAGTTTATTCTGGCTCCTCTGACAGAGGGGAGAGAGTGAAGGGAAGACAGCGTCTGGCTGTGCATTTGACTCTGGCCCTGGCTTTATCGCAGTGGAGGATGCTGACGGTGAGAAGTGACGACTCAGAACACAAGTACAGCTCCACGCCACTCGACTGGGTCACCCTGGACACCAACATCGCCTACTGGCTGCACCCCACGACCAGCGTAAGCCAAGCCTCGGTGCCAGCTGCAGTCAGAGTGCCTTGCGCCCCGATGTGCCTCTGGCACTCAGAGCAGCCTGTGCCTCCTACGAAGTCCAGCTTTCTCCAGAGCTCTTCTAACAGAGCCTGGCTGGCTTTTGTCTAAATGCCCATCAGATGCCAGGGAGGAAGGTTCTAGCATGTCTGTATGTCAGGGGAAACCAGGCTTTACTGCTTTTGTGGGAGCGCATTGTTGCGCTTCTGGCAAAAGTAGTTTTTAAAATATTCCTGCTTTATTTTCTGCACGGTACCCAGCGTCTGGGCCTGTCATGCTTTGTTTACGTGCATGTTGTCTCTTCACCCAGGAGAACGAGCACGGCCCTGGAGCTGGCATGTCGTCAGCGCTCAGTAATTATTCGCTGTAATTATTCCTTCCCACCCGAGGGGACTCGAGAGCGCGCTCCTGGGGAAGCAGGGTCTGAGATGAAAGCTCGTGTGTGGGGCAGGCCCCGGGAGTTCATCCTTCGCTCCGTGTAGCTCTGTGTTAGTCCCTCTGTGAACAGCTCTGTCATTAAAGAAACGTCCCGTCTACTCCCAGTTTTCAGTTTCAGCTCACAAAGTTGAAATGGTAGTAATTGTCTAGAAACCTGTTGGGAACAGGTCCGCCCGTCTTCGCGGTCAGGGTGGAGGATACTAGAGTGTCCTGTGTTTATGCTTTGCTGCAGCCTGGCACGCACTCAGGCGTCTTCACTTGGCCCTTCCCTCCGAGGGGCCCAGCGCCGACGGTGTCTCCCTGTGCCCCTCCAGGCTCAGATCCACCTGCTTGGGAACATCGTGATCTGGGCTTCGGCCAGCCTCGCCACGGTGGTGTACACTCTGCTCCTCTTCTGGTACCTGCTCAGACGCCGGAGGAATATCTGTGACCTCCCTGAGGGTTAGCGCAGCTTGCACATGGCTTGTTTTTACGCCTCTTCCTTCTGGTCGTGACAAGAGTGCATTGTGCCTCGGGTGACAGCCTAGCCTCACCAGGAACCTACACTTTAAGGCAACCTCTTTGTTTCTGCATTGAGGGAACTTAAATTATTCTTGTTGCCCCAGAAACAAAATGTTGCAATTCGGTTCCCACGTTGTGTTAGAGGCTTCTCCAGGGAAGTGAAGGTCACGGGCAGGGGTTGCTCCCTGACCCCAGGACAAGAGCACAGCCTTAATGCTGTGTTTCCTGCACCCTGGAAATGGCTGGATAGGACACAGTGGCCAGCAGGCGCTTAGTCAGGGGTGGTGGTCGTTTGTAAGTAACAGAAACCCACTTAAAACCTTCTTGAAACAGAAAAAGAATAAACATCTAGGGCTGGGGGGTGGGGGGACCTTCTCTCTGCCCGTCTCCAGGAGCTGGTCCGTTCTCTCCACTGACTCTCTGCTCCTCTAGGCAGGTGACCAGATATGGCCCCTTCACCACTCCCAGAGGAGTCAGACCCAACTTGGTATTCCCAGATGAGCTGGGGCCAGTGAGGAATCCAGTAGTGAGCATGCAGGGACTGGCCCACCAGGAGCTGAGATTTCTAGAGGAAAGGGATGATGAGGACTCAGGGTTGGGGGGAGCGGTAGAGAGAAGTCAGGAACTGAGAGCATGTGCACGTAACTTGAAGATGAGTAAGCCAGCTAGTTGGACTGGCAGAGAGCCTTTACAGATGGGGCCCAAGTCAGTAGCACTGGCTTGAGACGATCTTTGCCCCCAGATTCCTGGCTGCGCTGGGTGCTGGCCGGGGCCCTGTGTGCCGGTGGCTGGGCCGTGAACTACCTCCCCTTCTTCATGATGGAGAAGACGCTCTTCCTCTACCACTACTTGCCTGCGCTCACCTTCCAGATCCTCCTGCTGCCTGTGGTGCTGCAGCACGTCAGCGACCACCTGTGCAGGTACGGGGCCTTAGCGGCCACCCCTCAGGGCAGGGTCAAGGGAGTCATAAATGACGATTTCAGTGTGACGTGGAATGGGTTCAGGTCACAAAAGAGGCACAGAGAAGGCACCACAGGGTTCAGAGGACAAAGCTCAGGCTGGTTGGGAGATGAAAGCAACCGATGTGGATGGGGACCCGGAAGGGCGTTTGTGGCCTAGAGAACACCAGGAGCAAAGGCACGGAACAGGGCAATGCTGTGTGTTCTGGAACAGCCAGTGGTCATTGGCCGGATTGCATGGAGTGGGGCAAAGACAAACCAGAAAGCTTTGTAAAGTGGAGCGAGTTCTGGAGGCCGGAGCAAAGGGCCTGGACTCTTTGTTGGGTCGTCAGGAGCCTCAGATTATCTCAGGAGGGCTGTGATGTGATCACACGGGGTTTGGGGACAATACTCTGGCGTCCACGTTTAGACGGAGCAAAAGCTGTGGAGAATCTAGAATTAGACAAGTGAGGACGGTCGTCGCAGTGCGTCAGGCAGGATGTGATGAGGGCTGGTGACAAGTGGGGAGGAACAGAAAGGCCAGGGTAGGTGACTGAGTGGGTGACAGCTGCCAAGAGGATGTGCAGGTGGAGGTCACGGTGAGGAAGAGCCAGCCTCCCCCCTCCCGTGCTCTGCTCTGGCACCGCAGGTCCCAGCTCCAGAGGAGCCTCTTCCGCGCCCTGGTGGTGGCGTGGTACTCCTGCGCCTGGCACGTGTCTAACACGCTGTGCCCACTAACCTACGGGGACAAGTCGCTCTCACCCAGTGAACTCAGGGCGCTTCGCTGGAAGGACAGCTGGGACATCTTGATCCGAAAACACTAACAGGACATAGACACGGTGAAGGGGGTGGGGGCTGGGGTCAGGACACGTAGACTCGTCCTTTATGAATACGTTTACGTCTGACAAGCAGAGTGGCTCTAAGCTTGGTGGAGACTGGCCAGGCTCGGCAAGGATTCTCTTCTGGTTTCATTCTTGAAACAGCCCTCAGATAAGCACCTCACCTCCAGCAGTTTATTTCTTGTGTGCAATGAAGAACACGCCCTCTGTGTCCACTTGCTCCTAAGAGCCCTCTGAACTGGGACACGAGTGCTGAGGGGCTAGTGTGGGACTCTTGATGGAGAAAGGCAGGAAGGGAGCTGGCGGCGATGGGCAAGTTAGGGCTGACCCAGACAAGGCCCCAGTCTCGCCGACAGATGCGGGTGTTGAGTCTGGCCGACAGGCCTGGTCCTCCCTCCAGGCACCCGCTGGCCTGTCCCCAGTGAGGCCTTGAGGAATCGCCCTGAACAGTTAGTGTCACATCAGCTACTGGAACAACGAGCCTTTGCTGAGGCAGAGGTGGGGCCCTCTGGTGACTGAGGCAGGCCTGGGTCACTCCTCACAGTTGTGGCTCTCAGACACCCCACCACGGGATTTTGCTGATGTGTGAGGGAGTAGCATCTTCTGAGTCTAGGTCTGTGTCATCCATACATCTTGTCCTGAATTTGCTTTTTTAATGTAATTAAAAAGGAACAAATTGGCACTCAACGTTTGGTGTTATTTATTGATTCTCTTTCCAAAAGGGCACAGTAAGCCTGACAAAGCCGTCACAGTCATCAGAAACCAGCCACGGAGCTCAGCCTAGCTCAACTGATGTTATGTCTTGTGTAACTAGCTACCACTCGATAGAAAGAAACCAGAATTGCCCATGCAGTTAGCTGGTGGCAGTGGGAAAGGAACACTTGTAGAGGAACAGCCACCATGTGGGAGGGAAGACAAACCAGGATGACACAGATGCAGGTGTTTGCAGCCGGGGGCTCTGGGTGAGCACAGTGGCGGCTGGCTCTGGGCAGCAGAGTCCACTCGTGCCCCTCCATTCCAGCACACACCCTGGCCAGGGAGGGCATGGCCTGGACTGGCCCTGGGCCACACTAGGGACGGCCTGTCCACACAGCACCCTGGGCTCAGGGTCCTGTGTAGGACTGGGGACGCTGTGTGTGCCACCCTGCCTTCTACCCCACACACAGGAGCCAGACAGGCTCGGGCTGGATGAGCAGAGACTACGCCTTCTGTGTTTGATGCTAGTTAAGAAACGCTTGTTCCCCAAGGCTCCTTCCCCCACCCCGCCTTTGGAACACAGTCCGGGAGGAAGGAAACATGGCTCTCTGGCTCCTCCCACCTGTGCGTACCAGACGGATCACAGCCCACTGGTGGGTCGTGAAATTCGGTTAATAGGTCACAGCTAGAATGATGTTATGAAGTAGAATAAAACAGAAAACATTTGGACGTATAACATATGAAAAGGGAAAGTAGTATCTCTTCAAACTTTTGTTTAGGTATAAGTGCATGTATGAACCAGATACTAGAAAAAGTATCTCTCACTGTGGTTCACTGTTAAAAACACACCGAACAGCCAGTGTCCAGGCTGTTTCCTCAGTGTTCCCCAAAATACGTGACTTGCATTCCTCCTGGAAGCAAGTGTCACAGGCTTACCACACGCGGTGGCGTTTCTCAGTAACTTAGAGATGTAACCTGCCATCACGTGGGGAAGCAGGTGACGTCAGGAACGCCTGCCAATACCCTGCCAAATGGAGTCTGAACGACACGTCCAGTATCCCCACGTTAGTGAGGGACGCCTTGATCCTACCGCCACCCTGTCGTACTGGATGCTGAGCGAGGCGGTGGCTGCGTTTTTAGGGTCAGGCGGGCATCTCCAGGCCCAGACCCAGAACTCGTGTCTGGGGGGGACCTGCCTGGGAGGCAGACGCCCCACTCCTCAGTGGGGTCTGCTGCTGGACTCCAAGTGTGACCGTTTGCCAGAGGTCAGCACCCGGGGGTGGTCCCCTGGCTCAGGAAACGTCCTCTTGTAGCTCCGCCCGTTGGGCCCTCCGCGGTGCCATTTGCAGATGTCACCGTTCAGAATGTCCTGGATGTGCTGCACAATCAGGTTGATGGCAACTGCAGCAAAGACAGACAGGAGGGGTCAGCTGCTGCCACTCTCCACTGCCCCCACGAGGCCAGCTCACCGGCGGTGCCCACCCCAGGTGGCACCCTCCCCAGGCGGCACCCAGCCAGGAGGGCTGCCCACTCGTCAAAAGCCCGGCTGTTACTCGTGAAGCACAGGTCTTTCCACAGAGGCATCTGTCTGGTGCCAAGGTTCAGCAGACAGAAAAATGAGCACAAGAAGCCTTACTGGCTTGGTCTGCAAGGGTTTCTGTTAACTAAGAGCCTGGTTAAAATACTTTCTGCTAACAAGCGACTCCTTGTCCAACAGTTTTCACTATATATATATTTTTCCCACTAGCTTTACTGAGATGTAATTGACATACAATATGTCAGTTTAAGGTGTACAACATGTTAAATACATCTTTTAAGTATGTCTTAATCCTCTGCCACAAATGTGCACTGACAAGCCTCCTGCGCTGGGGGTTCTCAGGAACCGTGTGCAGATGGGGCAGCGGCTGCTTCGTGGCCCGGGAAGGCAGACGGGTCGGGGCAGCATGGCAGGCGGTTCTTACCCATATTGTCTACCCCTCGTGGGATTATCACATCAGCATACTTCTTCGTCTGCAAGGCAAAAAGGAGGGGCTCGTAAGGATCTGCCTGCCCCCCAAGCTAATTTCAGGTTGCTCTGGGCTAGATGCAATGGCAGGGAAGCAAGCCCAGGGTGCCTGGATGCCTGTCAAGGGTGAAACCGGGCAGAGTTGGGGTAACTATCAACCAGGTGTGAGAGACAGTGATCCAAGACGTGAGGCCACCGGAAGAAGCGGCATCTCTCCTGGCGCCTCTGAAGTGCTCACTCATCTCGCTCTTTTCCAAGACCACTGTTGTAGGGCACAGCCCTCTGTACTAACAGCTTCACTCACTGGGCCAGTGAGGTGTGTGCCTCCCACAACACACAACTGCCTTCCTCTGCAATCAGGAACCTTCCACAAGAACCCTGGAGGAGCGAGCAGGACAGGACACAGGGTCCTCGATCCTCTGACCACAGAGCTGTGCCTTGGGCAAGGGCTCCTGCGGTCCCTGCTTGCGTTTATTCACCATCCGCATGTTCCCACGCTGAGGAGCACTTACTCCCTCGGGCACTCTGCTGGGTAAGGGCAGGTAGAGAGACAGCAGGAGGTGCACGGCTGCCCAGAAGGGGTCCCAACCAGATGCAGCACACCTGAATCAGGCAGAGTAGAGGGAGGGGAGAGAGGAAACGGCCTGCACGGTGGGACAGACCTGCGAACCATTTGGTGTTGCTGGCATGTGGACGTGGGCCAAGTCACTGGCAGGGACTGAGTCCTGGGGACAGCTGTGTCTGCCGGCAGTGGAGACCCACAGAAGACATGAGCGCAACAGAGCCAGGGCTGGCTTCCTCTGGGTTTGCCCACTCTGGGGGGTGCAGACACGGGGCTGAGGGGCAGGAGAGCTGGAGCCCCGCAAGGAGCTGACAGAGGTCCTAACTGCAGGGACGGGGGAGGGACATGGCTGGCTCGGCTCGGCTCCGTCACACTCAGCGTGTGGCCACACGTAAAGGGGGAGGGGAGGGAGATCAAGGATGGGGCTCAGGGCGAGGACGGTGCTGCCTCCACACAGGGTCACCAAGTCAGATTTGGTGTCCAGAGTTTTACTGCAAACTACCTACTTTGCCAAATGTCTTTCTGTAAATAAGAGAGACTGTAACAAGTTACTTTTCTAATTATTTCCCAGAAACTTTAGAGAACATGAATGTAAAATAAAAAATGCTTCCTTTAAATAGCAGCAGATAGAACTCGTTTGTCCCACTTATCTAAACTAAGGTTCCAATTCCTTTGTGCTGTATTTTTACCTTTAAAAAGCAAAATATTGTTACACTTCCCTTTAAAACACTCCAATTTGAGTAGAGCCACAAGTCCTATCTAGTTAGAAACGTAAGATGGAGGAAGACAGATGGCTACACAACAGTGAATTCCTTCTCTCTGCAAGCCAACTGGACCTCAGAGTGCCAGCCAGAAGCAGCCCGGAGAAACACATGGTGTGGATGAGGCAAGGACCTACTATGCGCCAGACACCATTTCTGGAGTGCAGACAAAGATCTTTGTCCTTGTGGCGTTTACCAGTGTAAGGAGAGATAAGCAAAATACAGGTCGGTCAGATGACCACAAGTGCTCTGGAGAAACAGAAATCAGACAGGCCGGGAGCGGAGGGTCTTTGGGGTTACACTGGGGAGGCAACACAGGCGATCTGGGTGAGGGCCCGAAGCAGGGAGGCGGTGAGCCGGTGTACACTCGGGAACGCTGGCTTCTCTAGGCAGAGGGAGGGGCAAGCACAGAGAACACCGGGAGCTGAGAACCACTCCCTGGGCACTGGGGTACGATAAGCGGAATTCTCCGTTTCTAAGTCAGACCACGTTCATCCACAAGTCAGCTCACACAGAGCAGGCACCATGTGTCTTTCTGAAAAGGGAGGAGAGGCATTCCCACGGAAGCAAAGGGCAGGTACCGGGAGGCAGAACTCCTCGAAGGCTGGCTTGACGAAGGTGGTGTACTGGGTCAGGATCTGCTCCAGGTCCCTGCCACGGTGCACGTCCCGGAGAACTGCGACGACAGGAGCAAGGCCGTGCCCTTCAGACCCCGCACGTGCGCCAGCCTCGCCCAGGGGCAGACAGGCCCGCGTCCGCCTTACCTCTTCTCGACAGCCTGACATCGGAGTCGGTGTCCACAAAGAGGCGCAGGTGGAACATGTCCCGGATCTCCTGGCTGTAGAACACCAAGATGCCCTCAAACAGGACCACGTCTGCAGGGTAGACCACCGTGGTCTCCGGCAACCTGTGAGGCGAGACCAGGAAGTGGGCCCTGCACAGTCAGCTTCAGTCCCCAGGCACCGACTCTGTGGAGGGGACAGATCACGGTGGCGGAGAGGGGTGTCCACAGAAACCAACGGGGCAGGGCTTGCTGCGGGGTGGGCTGTGTAAGCCCCGGAGAGACGCCCTCACCAGCTCCCACGAACCACCTGCTTACCTTGAGTGGCTCACAAAATCATAGGTTGGGACCTCGACGGTTCTGCCCTCCACGATGTTCTTCAGAGTCCTGTGCATCAAATCATTATCAAAAGCATCTGCAGCGATGGAAAAAAAGCAAGACAATCCAGGTGTCCTTGTGCTGGGGGCAGGAAGGAACTTCCTCTGCCACGGGGTCAGCCAGCCACAGCCAAGTGCTAGTGGTGCCGACGACCCCAAGGGACACTGGGACTGGAAGCTGCCCATGCAGTTTATATTTGCAGAGTGCCTGCAGTCCCGCAAACCCCAGGATGGACCTGTCCTTGCTGCCCGCAGGCAGTGCCACTGCCCAGGCCGCTGTCCCCCCTATAAGTTTGAACACGGATTCCCTGATCGGCCAGCACTGGGAGGCAGGTGGGTTAGGTGTCTGCTTCTCTGTGTTTCTGGGAAATAACCACAGACTGACACTTCCAGGGCCTTCTTCCCATGTGTCCCCGGGAAAGGAATGACGATGGGAGGCAGCCACAGAGTGGAATGTTCTAGTAGTGGCAGGCAGGGGCAGCTTGGCTCTTCCCCCTCATCTACTCTATCTCCACCTGTTCTCCTGGCCCCTGACCAGACCAGGAAGCAGAGCTCCAGGGCCTCCAGCTCTCTCTTATCCACCGCTGGCTTCTCGAGGACTTGGCCCACAGCAGGCGGGAAATCAAAGTGGACAGTGGTGTGTGCAAAGTGCCCCTAACAGCAAGAAGGCGAGTGGATTTCTCCACGACCCTAGTCGCAGCAGAGCAGTGGTCCTGAAGGCCCCTCCACTGCCCAGACTTCCTGACCGGCTCCAACCAAGGGAGCCAACAGCCCCTGCAGGGCCGGCCCCAGCCCAGAGAGCTCAGCAAAGTCCTTCTGACTTAGCCCAGCCTGCTCCACCGCGGGCTATGTGGGATATTTCATAGACCCACTTGGGTCTCTCTGCATCCCCATCCAACCCTGGACCCAGTGCCGCAGTCGGCCCTCCTTCCCCCTGGGTGGTCTACCTGGGTGGTCAAAATTGTACTGTCCCTTCAGGGCCTTGGCCTTCTGTTCTGGGGTCAGGACCTTATAGAACCTGTCTTGGCTCAGGATGACCAACTTCCGCTGCCGGTGGTCTACTTCGTTCTGTCCCAGCAGCTCCATGATCTTTTCACACACAGTGGACTGGGGACACAGAAACAGGATTCCCGCCTGGAACCGCTCACCCTGCCATGGGCGCGGGGCCTCTCCTCGGCGTTTCTGCACGGAGCTGGCTTCTGGAGCCACGGGCCCACCTGCCCTCGACGGGCTGCCCGCAGGCCAGCGACAGGTGGGGCTGGACTAGGCGGGACGGCCGCGGAGCACTGGCAGGGGCAGCACGGACCTGGGGGGCCCGAGGGGCCAGGCGAGCGGGGAGGCTTGGGGGGAGTCCCGAGGGCCGGCGCCCCTCTGCGGGCCTGCGCCCGGCCCAGGCCTGGCCCACCAGGGCCGCGGCCCTTCCCGCGCTGCCCCCCGCCCCGCCCACGCCCGGGAGGGGGCACCTGGGCAGCCAGGGCCTGGGGTTTCCTCTCTGTATGGAGGCCGAGTCGGGCCGCCCGGGGGCCCAGGGCCGGGGTGCGGTGACACGGCTAGGCCCCGCCGGGCCGCCCAGCCCCTTACCTTCCCGCTCGCGGTGCCGCCGCTCACCCCGATGAGGAAGGGCCGCTGGTGAGGACGGTCCGCCTCGGGCGCGGCGCCCTCGCAGTCGCCGCCTCCAGCCGAAGCCATCCCCTGCCCCGCTCGCCCGCATCGGCTTCCTAGCTCCCAGCGCCTCCCCCAAACAGCCGGCCCTCCGCACTCGCGCAGACGTCGGAGACGCCCCCCCCGAGCTCCACTTCCGGGAGGCAAGTGGTGCGGCGGGGGCGGGGTGGCGTGCGCGCGGGGCACGGCGGGAGTTGTAGTCCGAGAGCGCCGCGCAAGCGCGGGCCTGGCCGCTGCTCCGGGGGGTTGCGGAGGTTGCTGGGCCAGCTCCTTGTGCCGCATGTTTGCTGAGAAGGACGAAAGCCACTCAGTATCGCAACCGGCTGCGGATGTCTCCAGACGCCGGGGGGACCTCTCCAGTAGAGGCCTGTGGCCGGGAAGTTTCCCTTCATCCGCACCTCCGGTGCCTGGGGGCTTCGAGGATGATCCCCCGGGACTGCAGGGCCGCGGTGGGGGCAAGGGCCGGCAAGTCAGACCCTGAGCCCGGTGGCTGGGGTCGGAACCTGGAAGAGGTTCCCCTGTTCCCCTGGAACAGCCCCGGTGGCTGCCTCGTGTGCAGTCACCCTGAGAGGCGCCCCGGCTCCTGCCTCCACCACCAGGATCAGACCTTTCTCGCCAGGCACAGCCTTAGCCCTGCCTCGGCTCACCCCCGCTCCAGCCCTTCCTCCACATGGGCCGCCCGAGTTTCCTGACAATGCCGGGATCGCGTCACCCACCCACTCTTCCTACAGCCTTCAGAGGCTCCCCACTGCCTTCTGCAGCAAGTGCCGGCCCTCTTCCACCTCCCCAGCACGTGGTGGGCAGATGTCATGATGACTTTCTAGACTCTGGCACTAGGCAGGCTGTGAGCCAAGAAGGCAGAGACCAGGTCTGTTGGGGTTCCACCGGTACCTCCAGCGCCTGGCAGAGAAGGCAGATACTGATCCATTCAAATTGTCTGTTTCCCCAGGGCATCGAGACTCTCTTTGCAGGTCAGGCTCCTAATGCACTGTGAGCACTCCATGAATATTTGATGCTGCTGAAATCTGATGCACCAGAGACTACATTAACATGCAAACAGCAAATGAAGTCATGTTTCTGTAACTTCAGGGGTATTAACCCATCTCAGGAGAGGTTACAGGCTGCTTCTGCTGATCAGGGGGAGGGGGTGCAAGGGGACTTCAACCTCCTGAGCCCTTTGGACCTGGACAAAGGGAAGCTGGTGAAGGGGCAGCTGGATCTGCATGAGAAAGCCACCCTCTAACTGAGAGCAACTTACATGGGAGCTCAAAACAGGAAAGACCATCCACCCATTCATAGTGAGCATGGCAAGGTTAGGAGCCAGGCTCCGCGGTGAGAGTTGGGTTCAAACCTTGCCTCTGCTGGGTGCCCTTGGGCAGTGATGTGATCACTCTGTTTCCTTCCCAAATGGGGGAATGTTATGACTTTGTGTGAGTGTGTGTGTGTGTGTGTGTGAGTGTGTGTGTGTGAGGAAGATCAGCCCTGAGCTAACATCCATGCCACTCCTCCTCTTTTTGCTGAGGAAGACTGGCCCTGAGCTAACATCCGTGCCCATCTTCCTCTACTTTATATGGGACGCCGCCACAGCATGGCCTGACAAGCGGTGTGTCGGTCCATGCCCGGGATCCGAACCTGTGCACCCTGGGCCGCCGCAGCAGAGCACGCACACTTACGGCTACACCACGAGGCCGGCCCCATGACTTTTTAAAATTAACGTTTGTTAAGTGGAGCACAGGGTACTGGATAGTGAGCAGAGGTTCAATAGCAGACGACAAGAGAAATTGAAATAGAGAAGTTTATTACTCACAGGTCCTGGAGGAGGTACACAGCACACCTCAAGGGGCCTCAAGGGGAGGTCAAGGCAGAGTGCAGACAGAGAGGCAGGACCTGGGGCACCTGCCTTTATTAGGTCAGTGGGTAGAGTGCTTTGGGATTCTCAGGCTTGGGCTGGATTGGTCAATTCAAACCAAAGGAGCAGGGTTTTGTAAGCCCCATGGGGGTCTTATCGAAGGGGCGCATAAGGGGAAGGCGCTGGAGGCAGGGGTGACTGGATCACAAGGGCTGCTGGAGAAGTCGTCTCCAGAACTTACATTTGTTTGTGACTGCTGGCTGCTGTCCAGGGCACGCGCTTGTATGAACGGGCTAGTGTCAATTTAAAGTCTCCGCAGGCCACTTGGCCAAACAAAATGGATGCCGAGGCAGCAATACCATGGAATAGCTTAGCTAAACTCTTGACAGGGAAATAACACGGCGAGGCTTCCATGCCAGAGCACACAAAGGGCCTGGAGCAGGGCCCAGCCCAGGAGAGGTACCTGTCCTGTGTTTTCTTTGATTCTGCATTGGTGTATTTGGCATCCATTCATCACAGGGTCAATTATATTAACTGTATTTTCTTATTGTTTGTATTCTTTATGCTCTGGCATTTGGGGGCCTTAAAGAACCCTCCCCTCCCGAGGCTTGCCAGTTCTTAGAGATGGCAAAGGGAACACATCTTTCATATGCAAATCAACCCATGCCAACCATCCCTTATCTAACTCTTACACCCTCCTACCAAGCCCCCCCCCCCCTTCCTGCGGGATTGTCTGCCCAGCTGACTCTTCCCAGCCTCCCTTCCCCAAAGACACTCTGGCCCCTCCCCAGCTGGACCAGACCAGCCTTTATGTTCTCAGTGGCCCCCGGCATTTCTGAAAAGCACCTAACACAGCTGCAATTAAGTAGTAGATTCTGCAACCGCCTGCTTGATGTTTGTCCAGAGAGCAGAAGCCCCATGAGGGCAGGGCCATGGTTTGTTGGGCCGAATCTCTGTGCCATGTGCAGTAAGCATTTGTTGTTGCTGGATGAGGCGTGGGGCTGAGACTTGTAGCTCTTGGGGTTTGGGTTTCTCAGAACCAGGTGCGGCAGAACTTGCAAGAATGACCAGTGACTACCCTCTGGGATTCTCTGCTCCTGTCTTCACTGTCCCCCACCCCATCAAGTTCATATGCACACGGGAAACACAGCTCTCCAAGGCTGCCCTCCCTCCCTGTTCCCTTAGCCAACCCAACTGCATGCAAAATGCCAGTTCATTCCAATCCCATCTTTCAGCTTTCACTGAACACAGGCTGGCGCTCAGCTCTGAGAGTCGCCCAGGTGCCCGACATTTTAAGTAGCATTTATTGCTATTTTCCTAATCACAGAAGTAACCCGTGCTTATTGCAGAAATGCAAACACACACACACACACAAAACTAAAATCACCCGTAACCCCTCACCCAGGGAAAACCATGGCTTTATATTCCCGTGTTTGCTCTCCTGCTCTGATAAGGCTGTGGCTAGATAGTGTGAAGTTTAGCAAGGTTGGCCACGTATCTTGAGTAGCAGTAAAGCCTTGGACAACCTGTCAAAAGTTCAGAAATAGCAGAAGTAAAACCAACAAATCACCAAAGTAGTAATGAGTGAAAGCTTATTGTGCATACACCAAAAAGTTCAAGAACTAGGAGCACTCACACCAAAACATGGAATGAGGCTCTGGGTTCTGTTGTTATAAAGCAGTTCACAGAGTGGGGAGACAGGGACTGTTTATTCTTCACAGAGATTGGTTATAATATTAGAATTTACTTAAATGATACAGAATTGGTTAGTGGTTACCTCATATCAATTTTGGGAAACAGTTTAAGTTTTGCTAATGATTTCCAGAGGCGTAAGCAAGAAATGACCCAGGTCAAGTTAGTCTTGCAAAATAAACTAAATTAAGCTTTGTTTGTATGACTAAACTGGTTTTGTCTGCTCAGGGAATTTTCAAGGCTGGTGTCCATTTGTTTTTGATTTCAACACACCCTATGATGTGGGTACCATTATCATCCCATTTTCCTGATAGGGAAATTGAGGAGCAGCGAGATTACATGGCTCGTCCAAGGCTTGTGGTTGCAAATGGACTTCCAGTAAGATAGCCGAGCCGGCTACAGGAAGTCAACACACCTACATTCGCACACATACGCACTCCAGACGCAGAGAAGTGCCTAATCTCCCTGTTCCAAAAAAGAAGGGAAATACGATATCCAGGCCCCTGGATGAAGAAGGTCTTTATACCCAGGGGTTGAAGCCGAGTTGCCTATAAAGGGGCCAAGACCAGACTGTGTCTTTGGGGGTGGGAGTCAAAGCCACAGCTCCACGCACAGCAGCAGGGTTCAGAACTGGCCCTGGAGCCTGAAAGGGACTGCCGTTTTGTGAAACTGGAGCAAACTACTGCCCCAATGGCCCTGGGCAGACACAATCATCCCTGAGAAAGCAGAACCCTGGGCCAACTCTACACATGGGCCGCCCACAGGGTGCAGAAACACCAAGTGGAGAAACTGACGTAAAAAATGGTCCACAGCCGGTGACTTCCATAAGGATCCACAGAGACAAACGCAAAACTGTCTCACATCCCAGGGCACACTCGTGGCACACACAGGGCACCTTTAGAAGATAGCTCCTGCTGTAGATGAACTCACAAAGGTTACCAAGGCCCGGGGGAAACCTGCCACCTGTGAATAGTCAACAGGTGTGGCAGATGGGCCCAATCACATCTAGAAACTAGAGATGATGCGTCAAGAAAGGATTTTAAAATAGGTCTATAAAAGCATTTGAAGACATGACAATGAAATGCAGCAATATCCTGGACTGGGTTCTATACTGGCCAAAAATATTCTAGAAAAGACAAACGATTAAGTCATTTGTACCATTCTCGCAACTTTTCTCTGAGTTTGAAATTATTCCCAAATAAAAAGTTTTAAAAACCCTTTGAAGAGAAAGCACCTGGAATAGAATACAAAACAACAGAAAAGACATTATTAAAAAATGTAGATTTTATTTTATGTTTTGTGAGGAAGATCAGCCCTAAGCTAACATCCGATGCCAATCCTCCTCTTTTTTGCTGAGGAAGACTGGCCCTGGGCTAACATCCGTGCCCATCTTCCTCTACTTTATCTGGGACGCCGCCACAGCATGGCTTGACAAGTGTTGCATCAGTGCGTGCCCAGGATCCGAACCTGCAAACCCCGGGCCACCACAGCAGAGTGTGAGCACTTAACTGCTGCGCCACTGGTCCGGCCCCCAAAAATGTAGATTTTAAAAGAACCAAATGAAAATTCTAA